TTCGTATTCGTTCATGTATATGAGCCAATTTCCTTCGAACATCCTCCACGAAAGCTCCCTTCGATTAGGCAAATAATCTTTTCTTTAATCAGACAAATGAAAAATAAAATTATATTCGAAGTAAGAAAGCTATATTTATGAGCGTCTCATAACTATATTTAGAACCCCTTCCTTTTATGAATAATTTTGATGACAAAATGAATTTCGACTGTGCGATAAATGAAACATGAATTTTTATTAAAGCAGTTAGTGAAGAACCTTTTATAATTCAAAATTTAAAAAAGTTTCAAAACTTATTAATTTATCCGTTGTTGTAAGTTTGCGCCTATAAGATGATATCTGTATCAATTCTTTCAGAAAGTAGATACGTTAGTTTAGATTAATTAAACATGGGAAAACACACGAATGTTGCCTTTCTAAGGGAAAGGGTGCCTACCTATGGAAAAGATGCCTTCGAGGAGAACTTTTAAGGAAAACTATCTCGTATTCACGTTTCACATGGGGCAAGCAACGAAAACCAACCATGCAGCCAACCCAATCGCCTGGCCTCGAACCCAAGTCGAACTATCAGTATTCAGCGGTCTTGACCACTCAGTCACAGGTAGTGTTCAGAAAATAATTAATTTTTACGTGAGAATTGTATTTTGGAGGGAATCAAACGATATATTAGGATAGTAAGGATGTATAGAGTAATTGAGATGTGTACTATTTTTTAGTTCCCTGAATTTAATCCTCAGAACAATTCTTTATTAATATTCATCAACTCAGTACGAATCTTCATTCCGAGCTTCATTACTCGGAAAGAAAGCAACAATAAAAAGCTTGAGATCTGAAAATTTCGCATAACAATCTGATACCTCAAAGGCGATTTTAGCATTCCGAAAATGTAGATCATAAAAAACTGAAGAAATATTTCTCCATTCGACAAAAATGGTTATTTTTTAAATTTTAATGGGTTCCTGAATATACAATTTTGCTTTTAAAGAAAAAATGCAGCAACAATATAAATCGACGAACAACTATTTCCCTTCTATTCTAAGGTAAAAGCAATATATAATATCTCTAAGTGGTAAACCTAATTTTTTGTTATTGAATACGAGTTTCAATGTATTCAATAATTATTCAATAATAATTCAATATTATTTTCTCAACCTCAGCGTTTGCTCCTGCCTTTCTTTACCGAACCAAAAACTGTGAAGCGGTTAAGAAAATTAAAGATCTTATATCCCTGATATGAAGGCAGATCAAGCCTGAGAACGCTATTTGCAACGTCACATGGAAGAAAAATTTATTTAAAAAAATTCTTACCTCGTGCATTGGTAAATTTTTGTTAGTGCATGTTTGTTAGTGTTGTTCAATAATGATTCAATGCAGCACAAACGCAGTTAGCAATTTCTTTTTCTCCAGAAATGAATTTTACAAAAGTAAATCCAATAACACTCATTTGGGAACTCGAAAATGCTTTCTAAATGACACTTGTAATAATTAAACTGTATTTAATTTGCTCTTCAATATCAGGATAATTATAATAATTAAAATGAAAATCTATATATTGCTTTGAAAGGATATGTTTGAATATTTTAAATCACTAAATTCTCTATACTGTGATACAAGTCAACATAGGTAACTCTGATTACTTCGCTGATTTTTCAGTATATAACCTATGTGCAAGTTTTAAAAAGTTATTTTAACCAAAAAATGGAACAAAGTTTTGTATAGTTGTAGCATAAAACATTTCGTCTGAAAATAAAACAATAAATTGCGTTTCGTGGGAAAACTGCATACATTTATCTGCAGTGTGAAAGCGATTAGAATACTTCCTTTATTCTATCGCCTAAAGCTTTGGAACTGGACCGAAAAGAAATGCTGACCGTTTCTCTGCCTGCCAACAAAAGAGCACTAATCACCTCGTCGTTAAGACTCGATCTGAAAAATTTTACCCCCTTTCCCTAACCGCTGAGCGAAGAGCCCCACTGAAGGAACACAACTATTTTTCGAGCCCACGTGAAAAGATTAAGTTTTATTCAAGGGTATATGTATTGAATAACAAAAATTTTTCATTCATAACTTTGTATTACATTTATTCATAAATTAAGCATGTTGCTAAAATTTTTTAAAAAAAAGAGAGAGAAAGAGAGAGAAATTTATTTTGGTATTTTTTCCTTACAACTCTGTTAATCCCGACCATGAAATAAGATACGTTTTCATAGCTGGTGCATAGATACTGAAACATTTAATATTTCATAACATATAAATGGCAAGGTTTAATATTTAGTAACTTGTGATTGGCAATACTTTTGGATACATATGAAAATAGAATTATGCTGGAATGGCTGTTCTCTGTAACATATAATATTCTATGCTTATAAATAAATAGTTTAAAAAGTTAAAAGTGTGCCGTCATTATTTTATAAATACTGAATTATTTACAATATGTTAGAGAATTTTATAAAGCAAATTCATAATTAAAATCGCTGTTGCAAGTTATCGAAAAATAACCAAGATGTGATTTTTACGCAAATATCACTAAACTATACAAATTGCAATTACCCATGCAACAATGAATGTTTCTTATATGCGAATGTGTCCCTGCTTTTCGATTTGTGTGGAACTGTCGTCTGTGGAAGTACTACCAAACCGCTGTCAAGATAACATACTCTGGATGTAAACAAAATGCAACCCTTTTGGCTACCTAAGTTTGGCAGCACTGCGTCAGGAGTAGTACAAGGATGGTGTCTCCTTTTATTCTAGATTCTGTGGCTGTTATACATCGTGATTCACTCCAAAGTACTCCGTGCTAGTGTAAGCGGGGTATACCGATTTCTATTTACCAAGTGAAACTAGTTAATATTTCCATGAAATAAAAAATTCAAAACGTGAGGTAGGTTTTAGAAATATGCGGCACAGGACTGTATTCGGTTTCTCTACCACGATGCCTACAGAATGCTGTACTCTCGAGGACCACCTACTCCTCTTCTTCTACAACAAACTTCTTGAGAGAACTTTTGGCTCAATTATATCTTAAGTGCCCTCATGCTGAAAACACTTTACACTTATAGGTACAAGCAGAAATGAGCGGAATACCAGAATTTCACCATTGGTCCTACATGTAAAGTCCTGCTGCACTAACTTTGCAGTTTCGTCCCTATTTTGAGGCAGAATGGCTCCGGGTTGGCAGTCCGAGGCTCCGAGGTCTCCCACCCTTTTCCCTACCACCAACTTCTCGAGCTTAAGTCTCAACACTTACAAAAAATATATGATGTTATTTGAATAAATATATGTTGTTATGTTCACTATTATTTGAACTTAGGACCAATACTAGAACAATTCCCCTACCCTGATGCCAACAGGGCGGCTGCGCCGTTTAAAGACTGTGACATTTGTTTTGAAATACTCCTCGTTATAATCTGGTCCTAGATCAATTAAAACTACTAAAGGATAATTTAATTGCGCGTTTAATTATTATGTTAATTATATAAATTAAATCACATGTTACACGGGAAGGGAAGGAAACATTGCAGTGTCTATGATACTGCTCAGATATGTGACCTTCACTAAAAGCACATGCACAGTTAAATCTATTAAAATTGATAATTGAAATTCAGAAGAGCGAAACGAAACAAAAAAAGATTAAAAGAAGAATTCACTACTACCTACCTAAAATATACGAAACGATAGGTACCAGTGAAGTCTTCTTAAAATATCTTTTCTTTCATTTCTCTTTGTTATGTTAAATTTACTTTGTTTTCCAAATTCATTGTTTCATATTCTATGTATATAACGTTTCTTGCTATTTAATTATTGAATAGACAGAAGACTTTCATAAACGAAGAACTGCAAAATTATGTATTCTTTGACTTTAATTATTTAACCGAACAATCGCCATTTAGTAGTATTCTATTAATGAACTAGGATTTGTATTTTCTGTATGCATGTGAGTTATTTCACTCCTCCTTACCCACAGAAAAATTTTAACAAGTAGATACAGACTGCTTTTAAAACACCGAAAAAATATATAAATGAAGAGTAACTATGCTCAGAGCTTAAATTTCGCCGGAGCCCACCAGAGCTTAGCTCCGATACCTCTCAGTTTTTGAGATAAATCATTATTTTAGCCGGAGCGCACCGGAGCCCTAAATTGAAGGGCTCCGATTTGTAAGTGAACTTCTTCCTGTAAGTGAACCTCAATTTTAACAGAAAAATTTTATTTTAATAATAATTATGCCTTAAAAACTATTCTAACTTCTGAATGCAAGCCTGTCTTTCCCTTAAACACAGGTTGAGATTTTAAGGAAAGAAAAGCCAATATGTCAAAGACTAATTCTTTAGGAAGTGCAATGATTTATGAGAGCAAGAAAACTTTTCGTTTTTGAAAATGCTGAAAGTGATACCCCGGACCTTCAGTAGACTTTTTTGACGATGTGACCAAACGCAGGGGATCACTACTGTCACTAGTATAGAGGAGTCAATTTTATTCTTACGTTGTTAATGGATTATATTCAGGAAAGATTATTTGCACTTTGAAGGCTAGAAATATATCGACGGGACATCGCTATCAGAAAGTCTTGAATTTAACAATTTATTAAATTTCTATTGATCTCTTTACATTTCTTTTAATTTTGGCTTAATTATTTAATTATTTACATTTTAGTTATTTTAGTTATTTATTATTTTTTCTTCCGTCCTGACAGTCTTCCATAGGGCTCCAGCACTTCTAATTTTAGAAATTAAGCGCTGACTATGGCTTACGTAATTTCAGTGTCATTATGCTGTTTTAATATTTTCTGCTCTAAAAGTTCTTATTTTAAGTAGTTAATGAGCTAATGTAAGATAAAAAAACGGAACTATGCTTTTTAGTTAAAACATTTGGCAACTGCTATTGCAGTTAACGTTGTGCGAAATTTTTGTTTCCGTGGGCAATGTAAAATGATTGCAGTTTATCTTATCCGCAACATATATTCTGTATGAAATATTATAGTATTATTTTGGTGAGTTTAAAAATAAATATGTGCCATTTTTCGTATTCATTTGTAGTCTACTGATATGAAGGTCAACTGTCAGATTTTACATACGATAACTTGCAAATACACGTAATCCTTAAAAAAATTATTTCATATTGCCAGAAGATTCTGGTGTTTATCATAAAAATATTTTCTTCTGGTTTTTATATCAATCGCTTCTTCTTCGGAAAACATTGTTATGTGATTTGAATTTTTTTATGAAAACATCTGAGACTTTTAAACCCGTACGTAGTAACATATTGCTTGGACTGTTTGTAAATATTATTACTCAGTAGACTATTTAAGAGTGTTTTTTTTTAAGAGAAGAACATGTAAGAAAATATATGTGATTACTACTTTTTCTTAGCTAAAGAATTTGTATAAATATTTTGGAGGTACCTAAGATATACAGAAATTGTTATTTTGCAGTTTTAGGTGCTTTAAATTATTTACGGCATGAGTAGACGTTTACTGCAAAGAGGTCGGTACCCAAAAGGTGAGTTCTTTGGTAATATTTAGAACTTTAAGTGATTGAAATACATGTTGAAGGAAAACGGAAATTAAAGCTTTTTTTAAATTTTATTATTGTTAAATTAGGTCCTGGAATTGAACAAATGACAAATCCAAGGTAAGTTCGTTTATACTTTTTTGAAAAATTTGTTTTTCATCTTCCTGAACCAGGAATAAGAATGCTTTTTCAATCAGTGTTCTGCCTATGTATATTCATGTAATATAAACAAATTATCTCATTCTTTTAAAATGCATTCTACTTTTTATTTTTAAAATTTGGTATAATTATAGTATGCTAACAATATTTGATTTATACTATAATAGTTCATATTTTAGAAGTGTCATACAGTATATATATGTTGCAGCTCTCAAGTTCCATCAACAACTTCTCCAGCTTGTCCACCTGGACCACAAATGCCTTATTATGGTTCATCTGTACAGACAGAGGTGTGTTTTAATTTCCTGTCTAAAAATTATTATAATAAAAAAGAGATGTTTTTAAAATCTTAAAGCCTGAATTTTGATGATTGGTAATTTTTTTGTTAATTTCCCCCCCCCTCTGGTTTTAATTTATTGTCTTTAAATAAAGTAAAATGTGTTTACCATAAAATTTTTATTTTTAGGATGCATATTTCTTATTAATATAAACTTTTACCACATCATCTGTAGCTTTAATGTTATTTTTTTCAGTTATTTCTCGGGATCTGTGTAGCATTGCAAAATTCCTTTTAAATCAAAGCTTTCTTATATTTTTTAACTGGTGCTTGTTCTTTTATGTAATTATGTTCTGTTTTTTTTTCTTGTATTGTGAATTATTAGCAAAGTGCATTCGTATTTTTAAATGCTTATAGAATACTATGATATTTATAAAAATAATTATTTTTTCAAATGGCTGGACTTAACTTAATGATACTTACATCTTACAACTTAATAATCCTACTTACATGATCTTAATGATACTTACAACTTAATGATCAGGAATGGCCAGAGTATTTTTTAATGTATAATAAAAGTTTTTTTATATAGAAACTTTAAATATACTCTAAATGATTAAAAAATTCAGGTTTTTATATTTGTTTTTGAATTATCTGAGCAAAATGCTGTAAAATTGTTTTTGAACTTTCAAAACAAAACACAGTTAAACTATTTATTACTGAAAAATTATTTTGTGTCTTTCCTAATTGTTTAGGCAATTGTGAAAATGTAATTGAATTCTCTGAAGTAAACATATGGCACTTAAAGGCTGTCATATCTATTTAATTGACAGTATTGAAAATTTTGGAATAACATTTTAAAATAAAATATATTAATATTTTTTATTGTGCTGTTATTAATTACAACTAATTGAACTGTAGTTGTCTATCTAACTTTGCATTTTAAAAATATATTTAAAATAATATATGTAGCAGAGAAATGTTTTAATTATTATACTTTCTGATCTGATAAGTGCCTTTTATTTAGTTCATTTTTAGATGGTAATGAAGCTAATTGCTGTCATGTTTGAAAATTTGAATACTGTGGTTAAGTTATAAAAGTGAAAATTTTTATTTTATTTTAGACTTTCTGTGTTATTTTTGAGCTCCTTGTGCTCTGCTATAACTTAATTGTATAACCTTTTTTTGTTCTGTTGCTTTTTTGCTTTTCAGTATTTTTTATTATGTGTTAAACAAATTCCATATTAACATATCTGTGCAAAGAGCAGCAGCAGCACATTAATAATGATTATTTTAAAAAATATATAAATGTTGAATATTAACAAATATATTTAATAAAAAACAAATTATCATATTTTCACATGTATTACCCCCTCCCCTCTATTAATTTTATCTTCGAAAAATCAAAAGAGTAAATTCTGTGAATAATTTAATTTCTGAAGGATATGGTAAGAACATGTTAAATGAAAAGTAGTTATGGATAAACTACATGTAAAAATATATATATTCTTGTAAGAATACATAATAATATTAACATTACAGTGTCTAATAGAAAGTATCTTCATAACTTGAAATTTTGCCCATTGTTATTGTCTCATAGACCTCAGATCTTCCATAAATAATTAGAGGAGGTGAAGTGAATTTTACTTAGCAAAATCGTAGACTGAATGTCAGTTTGTTTTTCCTTTGTTGTAACTGGTCAGTTCTTACATTAGTCTGGCACCATAAAGTTCAACAGTTAAAAGGGAAATTTTTAATATGGCATGATTTTTAACACAGGTAGTTTGCAGTGGTTTATTGATAAGGTGAAAACAATCACTTTATAAATGAATCCATTTTAAAATTTAGGAAAGCTGATTATCCGAGGACATTGAGGTATAACGTATTTCTCTTGCCTTTCTGGTGTAATAGTCAGGTTATATTCGAAAGGTCCATGGTTCAAGTCCTGGTGAGAGCATTGCGCATTTTTCATGTCTTCAGCTTCAAAAATAACCTAATGTATCTATAGTGACACCCAAACTAAAATAAGGTGGTGGATGATGTTTCTCCACCACCAGGATTTGGCGTTTGTATCTCCTAATCTCCAGTCGCCCTTTAAAAGGGGGGGGGTATATGAGGTATTTCTCCCGCCTTCTTAGCATGCCTTCATGGTGTAATGGTTGGCACATTCGGCATGTATTCAAGAGGTCCGTGATTTGAGTGCCGGCAAGGGCATTGCTAATTTTTCATGTCTTCCGCTTCCAAATAATATATGTACAGAAGCCTCTACAGAAGAAGGGGCCAATTAAAGATATATATATATTTTAATTTTCAGAATGTGTTGCTAAAAATCTAAGAAGGATGAAATACAGAATTATTAATTAGTTCCTTTGTCAGATCATACTATATAAACTTAAATTGAGGGAAAACTTTAATGAATGAAGCTGCATATTTAGTAGCATTGAAAATGTGATATTTCTTAGGGTTAATTAAATTATTATTAATAATTTTGAAAATTAGATTTTAATTTGCCATGCATTAAAAATGAAAAAATTTCGTACATTTTGAAAGACAAATCTTATCTATTTTTATCAGTGGTAAATTTGATTTTATAAAATTCAGATATATTAAAATGAAAAATAATTTTGTTTGTAGAAACCTGTGGAAGGGGTTTCGGATTATTTTCTCATAATGATATTAATTTCTAATATTAGTGGTCAGAAGATTGTTTATTTTAATATTTAAAAGAACCAAATTATAAATTTTAAAGAAAAATATTTTTATTCTGATACTTATGTCAGGTAAATGTATTTAAAAGGTCATATATATTTTGAAATTTTGGCGTCTCTTTATGGTTTTTTCAGACTATTGATAACTGGTTATTAGTGTGCAGTAAAGCATGTATGTTCATCCAGATTTAATAAGTTTAAATTATTCTGTTGAGAATTCTTAATATGGTATTCTTGCATTAAAACTAGGAAAGTTTTTCATGCTCTTTATATTCATTTAAACATACATTATAGTTATTTGAATTAATGTCAGAAATATTTCTTATATAACCTATTAATTAACATGGCTCATGTTTAATTTTATTGCATGCTTTGTGAAAATGGTATGTTTGTTGTATCTGATTGCATGTTTTGTCCAGTGTTGTATTGTAAATTGATCCTTGTATTTCATAAAGACTGCTCAAAATCCCTGGACACAACCTTCCTATCCTAACCCTGCTTCTTACCAGCAAAATCAAGTATCACAACAACCTGTGCCTGATACTAGTAGTTACTGGTCAGGAAGTCAGATGTATCCATCATCTGTGCAGGTATAAAATATTAGCAAAATTAAAGTCAAATTTGTAGTCCAGATACTCAGCTGCATATAATTCTGTATATTTATATTATTATAATTGAATGATATGCAGTATAAGATTGTAATGTAAAATTATATATGTGATTTACTATATTTCATTTGGGTAACATATAGTACATAGTCAGAATTTTGTTAAACCTAAGCTATTTTTCTCTCATTTAGTGTAATGAAGGGGGTGATTTATCTCTACAATTTTTATTTTAAAAAATGTACAAAGAAATTACTGTTATTTAATATTTATTTAAATTAAAATGTTCTTGTATTCTGAGTTTCGTTTAACATATACCATTACTGTCTGTTGTTTCCTTAACGACGTTATTATCTCAAGCTTGTGTTATGAGTGTGTTTTATTATCATATGCAAAATATAAAGTGAATCACCTATTTTAAAATAAAAAAAAAATAAATAAATAATAAAAAAAAAAAAAGCTATATAAATTTGAATAGCTTTCGGTTGATCTTTAGATTATGGTAACTTGGCGATTTTTTGGCGACCAACTCTCCTACAGCAACCCTCTATTTTTTTTTTCCCGCCGCCATTTTGTCTTCACGAAGTAAAGACATGTTTCTTTTCTTTTTGTCTACTGAACACTTCTTCCCAACAATCTACTAGCCGAATTACACTTATGCTAGAAATTTTATCTAACAAAACTGCTTAATCATGACAAATATTCACTGCAAAATTGGGAAAAAGTGCACAATACCATACTCCTTACGCGTTTTTCAAAATAACACATACACATAAACCATGTACACGTCGACTTATTTTTATTTAAAAAACATCCCAGAATTATGCAAAAATGGCATTGCGCACACTCTTCACTATATCCATGTACACTGCTTTTTTCTCTTAAATTAGAAAAATTTCACGAAAATACACGACAATTTTCTGATTCTTTAAACCTGGTAAAAAGAACATATATGAAATTACCTGATCGCGAAAAAGTATATACCCTTTTCAAATATGAACATTTCCACATATAAAATAAAAAAATATCCAAAAACTTTTACCTCTAAATCATCTATTATTTATAAACGTCACCACGAATTCATACCGCAAGCATTACAAATACTTAGTGCCAATATTTAAATTATTTCCATGCACGTTTACTTCAACTAAAACGTATACCAAATTCCTACAAACATAAAATTCACAAAATAACTATCATTTAATTAAAATATAATTAAATTCAAAAACACTACTTAAATATAAATAAGCACATACATTAAATTAATAAAAATTAGCTTACAATCCTAATTACTTTAAACTAAATCATTGCTAATAACAATTTTCCCAATAATACCAAATTACTTTACTTCCACCTTACATTTAGAACAATGCATAAAAATAATATCCTCAAATAATTAAAAATACTAATTTACCTAATCTTCTTCAGAATCTTGCTTACATGGTGGATACACTTTTATTATGTATTCAATAAATTATTGAACGATTTTTTCTGCGAATTTTTCCTCCACACTTCCTCCGCTAAATAAAAAGCAAAATTCTCTTTATGATAATGCCTTGGAATGGCGCTTTTTATAGCACTCCACGTGCCCTCTATTGTATTGGTATGTGCACCTGTTTCCGGATCTTTAAAATAATATTTGTGGTTCACAGCAAGATGTTTAAAACCTTCATCTTCCAAACATTCATACGATTTTTCACTTTAGACAGCGCCATACAATCCCAAAAATTATTCAACCCTACTTCACACAACACACAATGAAGCTTAATACTGCAAATAATAGTACAGCCACAGATATTTTTCCAAATTTCCCCCCTTTTCCGATTAAAGAACCGTAATTTATTTGTCCATTAATATCACATGACCATATCTCCATGATCTCTCATTTCCCCTCACACAAAATAATGCGTAATCGGAACTGAGTACTGCTCACATTATTACCAAAGTCCCAGGTAGTAACCTTTATCGCCTCCAAAATGTCGCCAAACTACCAGTTACCATATTGTAAAGATCAGCCTTGCTTTCAGAACTGGTAATATGCCTGCTTTTACTGTAATATTTTCATGTGTTTTGCTGTGCTTGGAAATATTTTAAGTAGAACAAAATTTTATAACTCTACATGTTTCACGGTATTTACTTTATACATGTATTCCATATTTTTAATGTTGCATATACTTTATACATTATATTATCAGACCCACATGTACTGGTTAAAGTGACTGGGATATGAATGTGAAATTTATAAAATACGATGATAATATCCTTATAGACAGTAAAATTGAGATTGTTTTTTTTAAGAATTTAATTTTAATTAAAAATTTATAGAATTTAATTCTGAGTTTTGTGTTTTAGTCACCTGTAAATGAACCCTGGAATTGGAAACCAGAAAATAATATTGAAAGCTCTAGCTACAATAATTATCAGCAACCACCTCCTCTTGAACAGTGGCAACAAGTATCATATTCACAGGTTGATAACCAAAATTATTCTTCTCAGTCACAGGTTTATAATCCTTCTGCACATCAAGTATACCAACCTGTTGTAGATTATCAGACTGGAAATAATAATACAAACACTATACTTCCTAATACTTCTGGATCAGCATGGGAAAATGGAGAGTTAAGTATAACTCAACCAGAACAACTTCCATGGACTTATGGTGCCCCTCAATATTGCAATCCATCATATTCTACAACTGACTTCCCACAAAATTCAAATGCTGTTCCTACAAATACTTCTATGTGGAAAGTGAATTCTGATCAGCAGTCAATTAGTACATCTAATCATATGCAAGAAGAATCTTCAGTTAACTACTTATCTAGTGGAAGTACAAATTTAAGTGGTGTTGCAAGTAAAGTGGAGACCATTACTTCAGAGCAAACTGAAACTTCCAAATTAGAAGTAGATAATGATAGGAAAATAAACACTTCTTCTATAGATGTTAACATAAGTGATGAAAAAATTAACAATCCCTCTGAATACTCTGGCGATAATGATTATGGTAGTAGTACACTGTCAGCTTTTTTCCAAAGTAGAGATGTTGATAATTCATCAAATAACTCTGAATCTGGAGTATCAACTTCTGAAATTAAAGCTACTGTTGATTTAACTAGTCTAGAAGAGGAAGTTGCTCACCTGAATATGCATGAAAATGAAAGTAATTCTCATCATTCAGAAGAACATGAACTTGACATTAAATCGGATGAGGAAAATTTAGAGAATAATTTCTTGCAGGAAGAAAATATAAATGATTTGGATGGGGAAGGAGGACGAGAACTAGAACCAGATTCTCCTGTTGGTTCTGTAGAAGGTGGGTCTGTGATACTAGTTTCACACTTTTTAACAAGTAAAATTCAGTAAAAAAAAATTAAAAAAAAAAAAAAAATCAAATTGTGAAAGGTATAAAAAACTAACAGAAGAAAGTTCATTATGTTTAATATAATTCTGTACCTAAAGTATAAAATAATTTTGGAGGGGGATTAAATGTGTGTTGTTTTAAATCAAGATCATTTATGTATTTCTTTCTAATGGTGCAATTGTTTGTCAATAAAAGTTAATTCGCTAATCTAAAATTTCAAAACTGTTAACAAAAGTAATACCAAGAAAAGTGTTGAAGTAAAATTTTGGTCACCAGTTTGCATAAATAAGATGTACTTTCCAGAAAAGCCATATAAAAGAATCAAATTTCATTATTTTGCCATGACTTTGATTATAACCACTGAAAACTATTATATAACTTAGGAAACTGCATAAATAAAAATCGTGCTGTTCCATTTGAACTTTCATATGTGATGAAGAAATTTTAAACTAGATTTGGAATAAATTGATATTTTCCCCTCTGGTAAAGACAACTGTAGCATATAAATTTAATTTTTAGTCAAACAAATTTAGAAAAAAAAATTTTTTTTTTTTAAGATATGAAAGCTTTCAGATTTTACATTACGCCCAAAGGGGCATTTTTTTAACGTTTAGTGTGTTACCTTTATTTATTAAATAGCATGTTCTTCACACTTAAACCATAAAATTCAGTCCAACAGCAATATCGCAAAATAATTTTAAAATGAGCATATCTTTCGAATTGCTAATACACAGTCTCGCTCGCTTTGAAGTTGTTGAATTTGTTAATCAAAAATTCCTTAAAGTTTTACAAAATATGAAATCGATAATAAAACAAATTTCAAATTAGGGCTTCCAAATGCCCATCTTCGGTGGAAGATTACGTTATTCAAAATTTGATCGCTCTAGGTACCATTGTTTTATCACAATGTGACAAACATACATACATTTGTGCAGATTCTTCATTATTTAATATCTTTAAATATAATGCAGGACTCTAATATTTGGTGGCAACAGTTTGAAAAGTGAACCAACATTTATAGTGTACTAACGCAAGATGCCAAAATGAAATTAATAGCCCTTCTGGGCTAAAAATTCTATACATAGTATTAAAAATGAACTCCACTTGCTGAAACTTTATTGTAAACTGTAACAGTCTCTTTTGAAAGGAAATTATAAGGCAGATTTTGTTTAATTCAGATATATACAGTAGCTTGTTTATTTTTTATGCTTTGCTGTAAGAGTAATCTTTTTTATATCCTGTGTTTTTTTTTATACTGATCAATGACACTAAATTTCCTAGTTTTTTAAATTTTTTCAGGGATTATTTTATAGTAAAAGTAATAGATTTTATTGGAAATCTCTAAAATATTTCCATAATGATTCACTTAATAAAGTGTATCAGTCAGTAAATATATGTGAATATTTTTTTTAGCATATGAAATGTTTGAAGTTTCTCCTCTATTTTTTAAATAAATTCAATCCTACATTGTATTAATGTTGTTTCATTGCCCATTTTTTTAATAGAACCTGTTAATCAGGAAGTTCCAGAGCCACATACTTCAGATTCATCAAAACTACAGCAGAAAGGGTCAAAACAGGTTGATTTTGCTTCATATCTTTAAGCTTTTACCTGTGTGTAACATCTTTTCGTGCATTAAATATTAATTGGTACATTTCTGCTTTGCAGAATAATAAAGAATTACCTTTAGAAGAACCTTTAAATCAACAGATTCCTGCTGAATCTGGGCAGAAATCTCGTTCAGCATCTTGTGAACCTGAAAAAGTAATCATTCGTCCTCGAGAAGAAAGTCCATTTAAACCTCCTCGAGGAAATAACAATTTAAAAAGTGGTTGGTATTAGTTGATAAGAAAATTCTCATTTGTTACAAATAAAAGGAAATAGCTGCCAAAATTTGTCTACTTTCTGATTATCTGTACCTTCAGTTTCAAAATTCAATAGAATTGCCATATTTGGCACATTTTTGAGTATATAAGCAACAACAATTTGCTCTTGCACATGTGCTTTATATATTTAGCTGTCATTTTATTTACCATTATCCATCAGCTGTAAAAATATAAATATAGGTCATATAGGTTTCTTTTTCTCATAAAATGCTTTGTTTTATTGTTATTTATAAATGGAATTGTACCAAATTTACTAAGCCAACAGTACTAGTTTGAAACTTTTTGAATAGATGCAGATAATTAGAAAGTATAAAATTTATTCTAATTTAAAGGAGGCTAGCTAACCTTAAGTAGCTGTTTCAAAATCAGATATAGTTATGTGTTGAACTGCAATTCAGAATTCAAGGATTACTTTTCATGAAATGTTTGGCAGTGGCATTCAATAAATATCAAGTCAAAATGTTAAAATGCAATAGTTTTCTTATAAAAATTATGATGTGATGGTTTTCTTCTTTCACTATATTCTTTATATTATTTGACAATATACATTCTAATTGCTGAATACATGACACTTGGAAGCATATAAGTTTTTTTTTTTTTTTTTTTTTTGGGAGGGGAACAGTATTCATTCATATTTAGATTTTACAAAATTGTATTGTTACATTTTTTAATCCATTCCAAGGGTTAGAAGTACAAGCTTTTATATTCTTTTGCAAAAATATTTTGCATAGTAAAAGCTATACCTTTTTATACTACAAAGATATATCAGTAATAATAATAGCAATTACCATATTTTTGTATTGAGCTCGGTTTTTTTTTTTTTTTTTTAATGTTTGCAAATTATAGATTTTTTGACTGTTCAAAAGTGTCTGCAACTTCACTCATACTCTTAAACAAAAACTTTGCTGAAAGTATTTTTTATTAAATATCTCATTTATCTCCATGTTCTATGACTGATATCCAGTGCAATGAAAACTTTTATTTTATCGTCTCTATGGCCAACTTTGTCAGAAGTTTCTTTAAGTATGTCAGATAGCAAAATGTGTAACTAAAAGACTGAAAGAATGTGCTTTTGTAAGTTGGTTAGTGAAGTGTTTAATGACATTGTTATTGTGGTGTTTTACATAACGTGATGTTTGTTATTAAATAATTTCTGATTTCGGTTTAGTTTCAAGAAATTAGATAGAAGTAAAATTATTTAAATAAATATCTTCCTGCATGGAATAGCTCAATCTAATCTTTGTTAAAAGTAATGGTCTAGATTGTAAAGGTATATGTCTATTGCTCCTAATTACCATGGCTATTTATAGTAACAGTTTGCAGAACATCATTTTATTATCATGGCCATGTTAAATCATATTTTTTGTAAGCTATGGCATTTAAAATTTTAAGTATGAAGACTTAATTTGAGTTAACTGTGATAACAGTTATGCATGGAAAAATTTGTAACCACCAAAGAAAGTAAAATTTAATCTTCAGAAAGGTCTTTCAATAAAGCAAAAATTATTTAGGCCACATTCACCAGTTCTGTATGCCTATGTTCTCAACCGGTAGTACAAGAGATAAAAATAGGTGGTATGCAAAGAAGCAAAGTATTTCTAACTATTAAATTAAAAAATTAAAATCCCAACATCTTGATCATGTTTTTCCTCTAACACTTGTAAATTTATGCGATCTGAGCTATGTTCAAGAGTGGTGGTGGTAGTAGTTATTTACTAGTGGTGGTACTAAAGGTTTTTAATTTTTATTTACATGATGGTATGCGTTAGTCAAAAGGTTGAGAACTGCTGCTGTATGCTATAATTTGTGCCATGCCGTAAGATTATCCAGTGTATGCTTTTTTTTTTTTTTTTTTTTTTTTTGAGTAAAACGAGTTTGAGGGGAATGATCTCAAATATAGATATTCTAATAGATTGACAGGATATTGATGAAAGATCACAGTTGAGATATATTGGCATTTGTTTCATTCATAAGCCCTAATGATGAAAAAAGTTTTTACTTATGTGTTTTAATTTGTTTTAAACAAACTAGCCACTATTATAATTTTTATAGCTAGTTTTATCTGTAAATATGGAATGAATGTAATATCTAAGTTCATTAGAAAACCACACTGTAAATATGACATGAATGTCTTGCATATTTTAGAGAGTGCTTTAGAAATATTTAAATGTTTTTATTCTATTGCATATTTTAATTGCTTGTAAAGTATCATATTAATTTGTTTTATTTAGAATATGTGATGAGTATTTTTCATCTTAAATACAATTCAGATTTTATCTTTTTTATATATATAAATTAACCGTAAGGTATTATTTTTCTTTCAGGAGCAATTGTTCAACAGGAAAAATCTGCAGTGTCTGTTGTGTCTGTTCAGAAACATGCTGAGGCAAAAGCATCAGAGGGCAAAACCATAGTGCAGGAAGTAAATTTAGAAACATTTCCAGATAATTTAGAACGTCCTCCTGATTATGAAGAACTTAGAAAATTGTCTCCGCTCTATGTTTCACATCAGAAACATTTAAGAAATGAGTTGAATAACTCACCCAGTTCATTATTATGTGATAATCCTGACATTCCTTATGTTTCTCTTGCACCTGCTGCACCTCCTTTGCATTCATCTTCAAAGTCGGACAAATCAGAGTCATCCGGTGATTCCAAGCCGTCTTCAAATACAGGCAGTTTATATAATTTTGTGCCATCTGGCAAAACACAGTGGCCTTCATTAAATGAAGTAAGATCATATTTTTAATATTTTAGCTATTTTTTTATTGATGTATGAATAAACTGTTGTTTCCTCTTAGAAAGAAATGTAAATAAATGAATAAAAAATAATTTAATATAATATTATTTTTTATTTTAATTATGAATTTTTCCAGCTTAATTTTTTGATTGCTTAACGTATGAGAATTTTGATAGTTATTAAAATTTTATTTCCTCGGCAAAAATAAAAATTTATAAAATAGAATAATAGAACTTAAATGCATTGTTAATTGAAATTTAATTATAATTCTTTAGGTCTCCTGGTTTTATTCAAAGACACCCAGCTTTTCATAACATCTCCCGATAGATCCGTAACTCTCCTGCCTTTTGATTTGTAGCCTTTACACGGGAAAATATTTCCCCATAATAAATTTATTGAATGAGTAACACCTAAACTGTTTAAGTTCTATTCTTCCACCCGTAGGGACTCGTTGGCATCATTTTTGCTATTAAATTTTATTTGTCTTAATCTATTGTAGACATCTGTAAAACTTCTATGAAGTTTCAACCAGTGGTTTATCAGTTAATATTTGTTAATTGTTTTCCTTCAGTACATTGTATATTATTACATTCATCTGCATGATAGTATGCATATTATTATTAATTTTATTTTCATCGTATTTAAAATTACAGTGATCAATAACTTTCCTTCCCTATTCAAACTTCTGATTCTCTCAGTAACAAAATTTCAAAATAAGATTAGCCTAGGAACATAAAATTTAGGACAACTAATTAATTTTCAATATACTTGGTATTTTCCCATTTTCACAGCCCTCAACATTATGGCATCTGAAAGAAATAAAATGCCTCTCTCTTGGAAGAATGATGTAGCATCTTGCTTAGTCATGAGTAAATACAAAATTGTTAACTTAAAAATGAAGAAAGAAACCATTTATATGGGGTCTAATCATAGCTGTTATCTTCTACTGTTACATTTTTGGAAAGTTTTAGTTATTTCCTCACACTCCTTAAGTGATGTCAGTTCCTCTTCTCAACAGTAAATAAATTGTAGTGTTGTTAAAAGCAATATTCTGAAGCTGCTGAACCAATTGTCGGAAATGATGCTTTTCAAAGACATTTTTGCATATTCAAATGCATGGTAAAATGCCTTTTTCTTTGAAGAGTGGTGTAGCATCTTCCTTAGTCTTCAGTAAACCAAAGATTGTTAACATTTTTATTTATTTATTTATTTTAAAGAAAGAAAAATTATGATCTGCTCATAGCATTAAAATGTCATCTACTTTCAGCTGTTATCTTCCTTAGACATCAGTAAATTAAAAATTGTAAACATATTTTTGACAAAAGGAAAACACTTTAGCATATGGCTTAGTTATATCTTTTTTGTAAAAAAATCAATTAAGTCCCCTTTTTTTTTTTTTATTTTATTTTATGCAAACATCAGTCCAACTTTCAAATGTAAGAATCATAAATAAACATGTCAAGGTGTATTGAAATTACATTGCAAAATAAAGAACATTGCATGGGGCAGTAATCGTCTTACAAAATTGTGACACATATCTTAAAATTTTATCAAAACTACTCTTACCTTTTTCCGTATGTGGTTAAAAGTTTACTCCTGCAGTGGGTAAATGAATAGCACATGTGTTTTATTTTGCAAATGTAAGGTAGGACTGTTTTAAGGGCCATAATAGGAAAGTACCATGTATTTTATAGCAGAAGCATATTATAAATAATTTAATAACCTGAATCATGCATTTTAAAGTGAATTTAAATCAGTTTTTTTTATCAAATGGTGTTATTGTGCAGCTCAAAAACCTCGCAGAAACTCTCAATTATAATGTATAGACTGGAAGCAGTGCTTTGCTTTATAAAAATTAAAGCTTTAGCAGGCTATGTTAGAAAATTTGCTAGAACACTATCTAGTAATTACTATTTACTGACAATCAATCCAATATTCTTTCTGTAATGAAGAGATATCAATTAAATCTTCAAATAAAAAAAAAATATTCAGCAATACTGATCCGTCAATATATCTGTAGTTTTCAATTAACTAGCTCACTGAATTTGTAATGTGCTTTATAAATATCTATCCAGTTAGCTTAAATTTTTACTCATTTTTATCTCTTCCGATTTCATATTCCTAAAACTTGCTTCAAAAGAAGATGTAAATTAACTGAATGAAGAAAGAAGAATAAGTATGGATGTAATAAAATACTGTATCATCTTATAGTGTGGAAAACTGTGTTTAGTTCTTGGGATATATATGATTTTTCAAGATTTCGTTCTTCAGAAAATCTGGCATCTCTGTTACAGCACTCAAACTTAAGTTTAATGGACCATGGTTTCCATGAATCTGATTTTATATGCTGTTTATCGCTTTTCCCTCCTTGTTGCCTTTTGAGTGGGCTAAGGAATTAAGGAAGAGTGCTGTTATGAATAGTAGGCACTTCATCCAGCTAAAAACTTAAAAACTTCAAGTGAAGGCACAGTTAATTATTCAAGATTTCCTGCTTTATAAAGTCTGTTTGTACAGAATTAACTGATTAAATAATTAAATGATTCTATGTGCATTAATCATAATATGTTTTCTCTGTGTGCATTGGTTCAATTTAGTTTGAATGAAAACTTTGAGTTGTAAGTAATAATATTTGAATTTATAATTATTATTGGGTAATGAGATCTAGAATAATTTTCAGGCATTATATAAAATTATTTTGCTGTATTTGAAGTAATATATTTGACCTGTCATTGCACATTTGGTAATACAGCTTATAGAGTTTGGTCTTTTTAGAGAACATAAACTATAACAAAACTCTAAAAGGCAAGTGCTGAATTATCACTATGTCTTGTAATTACCACAGAGACAGGAAAAAGGCATAAAGGAACCCTTTTATTAACTTAAGTAAGGTTTAACAGCCAGCATCAACTCATGTTTACAGAAGTTGGTGGTTTTGGTTTAAAATCAAAGATAATGGATGAACTTAAAATTAATTAAAACAAGTTTAGCCTAATGGTTTCACAATTTAAATAATGCATAAGATGGGTCGGACCTAAAGTCGACACAACAAGCTTGATGGCAAGAATAACTCAACGCCACTGAATATTAATTGCAAGAGAATCAAATTTAGCAATGTGGCCTTCAAGCAGGCAGAACAGCCTCTAATTGTACCTTCTAAACCTTTCCTTAAAATAATCTCTTCTTTCTGCTTAATTTGAATATCGCATAAGCTGGAAATTTACATTCTGTCAGGAAAAATGGAAATAAGATCAGTAGGAAGGAATATTAACATAAAATAACTGGTAAGCAACTTGAATGTTACCTTATAAGTTTTAATTGGCTCTTAAGTTTATAGTACATATTTTAAGTTTTTAGCAAACATAAATTAATGAGAGCTAGCAGACTGTGTGAGGAATTATCCTCAAGTCTTAAGTATGGCAAAGTCCAGAGAAGGGTGTAAGGAACTCTTTATTAACTCGATATAAATTTCAAACGGCATCAACTCATGCTTCGAGAATCCAACACATTTGTCTTAGCTCAAAAGATAATAAGTTACATGAAATAGAATTAATATAGCCTAATAGCCTTTCACAGGTTACTTAACGTGCAGACAGGCTCTGATTAATAAAAGGCAGTATCAACAAGCCTATTGGCTAGAAGCATGCAACACTCTACAAATCTAATTGCTAGTAACTCAAAGATAACAACATGGCCTTCAAGCAGGCGTAATACACTCTGAAATCACCTTCTACAACCCTTCCCTTAAATACTTCTTTCTGCTTCATTTGAGTACACGTGTGCTAATTCATTAGCATTCCAGCAAGAAAGCATAGGTTAAAAACGAGAGTAAAAGGGAAGTTGCTTTAAAATAAAATTAACTGTTAAATAAATTAAATGAATCCCTACAAGTTATATTCCGCTTTAATTATTTCAAGTCCATGCACTGATTGATTTGACATAGAGCATAACAAAGCAGACTGTTAGATAAAGTTACTTAAACAGGTGGATATAAAATTTTCCATAAAATGTGTAGAGTATTCTAGTGCAGTATACATGCATTATACTATGTAAGAATTTCCAATAGAAAGGCTAAGATGAACGATAGTAGTGATGAGTATAACCCATGCATACAGCATTTTCCTTTTATAATGCACTATTATACTTTCTTTGAGGATGTCTTAAGAAAGAAAATTCTTAGTGCACTTTTACTAATATTAATTTCTCAAACTAATTTATTTTTCAAAATTGAAATAAAACCTTAAAAATTCATGTTCATGGTACCTTATGATAATTTTGTGAATTTAATCTCTCAGGGAGTGGATAATCTTTGATTATTTTATTATAATGATATAAGCATTATTCATGAAATTTTATTTTTTCTTTACATTGGTGAATTTTTGCTTCTGCATTTATTTTCTTTGTTGCTAATTTATTGTACCACTTTTCATATTGTTATTTAAAAAGTTAAAAAATAAATGGTAGTAAAAATTTTGAGCACAAGACAGAAACTTTCCTTCTTGCTTTGGAGGGGTAAATATTTTGACAATATTTCTAAATTTCCATGTAACCAGTATATTCTTATACAAGAAACTGAATAATATTTCCAGTTTTATTTATTCATTTAATGAATTCACAAATTATTCCATACTTAGATGTATGTTTTTCTTTTTCTACAGTCAAATGTCCCAGTAATGCTGCCATCAATGCCTTCTAGTAAGACTGATTTAGGTGAAAAAAGATTGAAAACAAACCAATTGTCAGCTACAAGCAGCAGTGAAATCAAAGCAACGAAAGTCTGCCTCTTCCTCCCAGTCTAAAAAGTATGAACCTATGTCATCTGTAGGAAGAAATGATGAAAAGTTTGCAGAGCAGAATGATCAGCAGCAGCACCTATACTTAAAGGAATCGAAAATAAATGGCAGTACACATCCTAACAGTCAAAATTCTGATTCACCAAGGAAAAATTTAACAAATATGGAATACTTAGAACATGCAGGCAATCCAGCTATAAATATCTCTAACAGAAACACTGACTCATCATTTAATGTAAATTATATGAGAATGGATCCAAGGTATCAGAATAATCATTCAGAAAATAATCGTCAAAGGTTTGCAGATCAGAAATATCCCAGCTTTGATGAAAGGCAATATTACTCAGATCGAGAAAGATCCAGACCACCCAGCACAACATCAATAGGAGAAAAGCCAGAAGATTATTATTATGGTAATGGCATGAACCGAAGAGGAGGTCAACCTGAGAATGCTCGTCCTTCTTCCAGGATGAGTGAGTCGGACCTCAGTCGTGGTGATCGAAATGGCCAGTATGGTTATACCCGACAGCAGTATCCCTATGCATATCCTCCTGGGTATTCTCGAAATGCAGAATATTACCAACGGCATCCAAATTACAGAGGTAATTTTTTAGCATAAAATTTGAAAAATCTATTGTGTATTAAATAATTTCTTTAAAAATAATTCTTTGATATAATTTCTTTAAAAACATACACATATATAGCTAAATGCAAGATAAATATAATTCCCAAATTATTATGCATCTGCTAAAGGAGAATTATTTCCCCTTGAAAAGCAATTATCCTTTCACAAATAAATAATAATTTAATTATAATTTTTACATTTTACTTCTATTGTAAAAAATGTTTACAGTTCTATTTCATTTGAATATTTTTATGATGTATCATACATATGCTCAGCTAGACTTTAGTAGCATTTTTAATGGTTACTGTTCGTCAGTCCAATTTAACTTTTATATTTCACAACTTCTGAATTAGCTGAGACCTGCCTGCTTACCCAGCTAAAAGTCTTTACTCTGTCTTCATTTTCACAATTGTTGGTGATAGTCATATTCTATTTACAAAAGTGTTTTAAATGATGAAAATATTCATGTTTTGGCAATGTCAAATTTTTTCTTAAAAAATAATTTTCGATAAATAAGAAAATCTTAATTTTTAATGCGGTCTCATGGGTCCGATATTTACTTATATGTGGAAAAGTTTTATACTCATTATGAAAAAATAAAATTATGAGAAGTTTGACTCCAATGCAACAAAAATAGGCAGTATATTTAATTTCAAAATTTGTAACTTTTTATGTCATTTTCTACTTGCATAAAAGGACTAGTTAATTAAGCTAGAATAATTCAAGGAAATAAGTGTAAATGAAGTACAGGAAAAAATTAGCGTAATTCAATAAGCCATACAAGTAAACCATACGGTGTTCATATCATATTTTCCTATTTTTATATTCTAGTTTTCAACTATAATGTTATTTTCAAATACATAAGTGCATTTCAAATTTTCTTTTTAATACTGTATATTTGTGATAGTTGCATAATGAAAATAATATGCATTACAATTACATGTAGTTATTTGTTAAAACTTTTATTGAAAGTATCAATTTTAGATTATTTAAAGAATGTCTTATAATTGAAGTTTGGAATATATGCTGCAAAAATAATAACAATGTAATTTAAATAAGTTTTAATTAAAAAAAAAGAAACTTGTAATATGACAAAAAATTAATGATATCCAATAAATAAGTTTCCAATTTGCAACCAGTTGTGAAATATTGTCAAACACCAATGATAGATCATTGATAGAATATCAAAAATTCATTTTGAATTTACTGAAAAGCTTTTTTCCAATATTTAATTGAAACCTTTAATAAGTCTGTTGAAGACAGATATATTACAGCTTTCAGAAAATGCTTCCAAAACAAAGGAAATTTTAAATTGAAATGATTTTTAATAATAACTAGGTACTTTAATAATAGGTACTTATACATTAACACAAACATTTTGTTTCAATTAAGCAATTTTATAGAAGGTAAAAAAAAGATGGCTTATAAATGAAAAAAAAGTATATGAGTACATGTTTTAAATAGATATTTGTGTTCAAAAAATTTATCAATAAATTTCCATCCAAGTGCTTTTTTCCTTTCTTCCCCCCCTTTTATTTTATGTTCTGTTAGAAATTGTGTGGCTATGCAGTTTTCTGGCAAATGTACTAACTTCAGTTTATTCTATTACAAGCAAATTTCGCAAATGTAATAAAATATAATTTTTGATAAAAAATGTCACGATTTATCTGTAATATAATAAAAAAATGCATGCAGAAAATGATCACCTTACCTGTTAAAGCTAAAGAATTGCTATGCCCATAGTTGCTGGAGTCTGAGATTTTCTGAAAATTTTAACTACTTCTAGAAGGATGCTGCATTTATTCATAAGTACCATATAGGAAAGTTATTTGGTACTTTTCCGTTTTGCCGGCGCAGGTGATAAAGTCGCCAATAATGGTACAACTGGTGCCAAACGGAATATCCTCGCTGGTAACCTTTTACGCTTCATTTTCAAAACAAGTCAACGCCATTTCTTATGAGATTGAGTGTCTCTTTCAATACTGGCATACAATTACATAGAATTTTTACCAGATATTTCAATTTTATGCCTTAAGGCCATTCGCAGTAATTAAGTCAATTAAGTTGCAATCGCACCGCTCATTCGAAAGCAAAAATATAGAAAAGGCAACGTCAAGGGTTAAATTCATCAATTCTAAGGAGAATACCATAGCGAAGTAAAGCACCGCGGTTTTACATAATTTCTGAGTAAGCTATTCGTACGAATTGAAATAATTCTGGCATCTAAACATTTATTCCATATTAAGATTTAACTTGAAATTAATGTAAATAATTACTGAGAGAATTAGATTTTTGTAGCGTAGTTTACGTGGGATGAGATCACTTGGGGTCACGTGATACAAACCGGCGACTCGGGATGTTGAACCATGAAAGCATAGTAAATTCTTAAATTAATGTCTTTTTACAAATTTGTCTTTTTACAAAATTTTAAACGCTATTAAAATGTTTGTGCCTTCAAAATAAAAAATTCTTAGAACTAGCATTTGTTAAAATTTTTTATGTGCATATTGTATGTTGTCGCCAATAAAGTCTGCTTGGCGAGATTTGCGCCGGCGAAACGGAAAAGTACCGTTATTTTCTTCTATATCAAGATTCAGTTGTATATTGGCATATATCACTTACATTATAAAAGTACCTTTGTCATTTTGTATTAATATTTAAATAGCATAAATGTTTCTTTCTTCATTTAAAATTTTTTAAAAAAAATGTTTCAGCAAAATTATGTTATTTACCTTTATATTCATAATTTGTTATATTTCAACCTACATTAAGCCACTAATTTTGTACTATATTCTTGGAACTATTTTTATAGTATGTTTCTTTCTGTTTCAACCATTGTTCTTGATATTGTACTTCTGAAAATTAATGGACTGTAAATCGTATTCTTTGCAGTTTTTGACTCATTTTGGTCAATGTAACATGTATTATGTGCTGTTTTTGCACTCTGACTAAACTAGTTTTAAAAGTTTAAAAAATATTCTATTTATTATAGGTTATGAATGTGATCCATATCAAAGGTATTCTTATTACGCGCCATACTACGATGCATATGGATATGATTATAGCAATTATAACTATGGTTTTTATGACGAACTCTACAGAAATGATCCAAGGTTTGTTCTGATAATTTTTGTTAACAAGCAGCATAACTGTAGAATGAGACTTTTTAGTTTTTATGATACATTTTTGTTATTTTGTTTTAATCTATTAAATAGTTTAATCAAAAAAGTAATAAAATTGTTTAATAAGAAATTATAAATTCGAATTGTAACTGTCTTAAAATTTAAGGTAATGCCTATTTGAATGATAGGTTTGTTTGAACACATATTTCTTTAAAAAAATGTATTTGTTTTAAGGTATAGGCAATATCGAGAAGCTCAAGAACAGCATCGACAGTATTATGCAAAATATGGATACGAAACCGATTATGATCGATCTAGTATACGTTCTGGTCGCAGCTCAGCCAACGAACTGTCTAAAGATATGTCATCTAGGTATATTAATTAGTATTTCTCATGTGATATTAGGAAATATTGTGATTGTATTTCTGCCACAAATGAGAATTTTGTTGAATGTTCTGCTGATTTTTAAACTTCATGTCATAGTAATGAGAAATCTTCCCTTTTCAGAAATGTTGAGAATATGCATTTGTACTAAAAAAGACTTAAACAGGGTTCGTAGCGGTCCTTACAAGTGCTTATAAGTCCTTATATTTGAAAATAAAATATAAAGGCCCTTATAGGTGCTTACTTTTTCTTTAAAGCCCTTTTTTTTTTTTAGTGTTTATTTTTTGCTATTAGTGCTTTTTTTTTTTTTAATTCTTTGTTTTTAATGAACGCGCATTTTTTCCCCGTACTAAAGCCGAAGCTAAATAAACAACTTTTCTTTCTTATATGCAACGTCAGATGGTGAATCATACTCCCGAAAATTGCTTCCCCCCCTTCCTCTGCATTAACGTAACCTATGGTGCACGCGAGAGTATAGACAGTTGCATGTTGTTCTATTGGCCAAAGAATTGCGAAAACGTAGAAAATTCCGGTACGTTCGGTATTCTTTTCCCCCCACCCAAATACTACACACGTTTGAATTTCTATCAAGATTTTAATAAATTTGCATTCTCGTTCCGCGTGGTCAGTTCATATTTGTGTTTACTATGATCATTATGCTTATATTATGAGTATATGTATGAATATTTATAATAGTATAGTTGCAGTAACTGCTGAAGTATAGATAAACTTCCAAAAATGGGTGTGTTTTTACACAGATTAGCTTTCTAAGAAATAATAATCGGAATGGCTTAAATAAAAGGAAAGTAATCGACTAGTCAAAATAATTTCATTTTCTTTGCCAGTACATTATACAGTACGGAGGTTGGGAGTTTCTCCGCAAAATCTCTAATATTGAAGCAGCGGACTTTTTTTTGTCACTGTCCAATCTGGATTGAATAGCACTAAAGGTTTTTGCGGTCTACCCAACCCAAGCGAAGATTGATTCTATTCCGGAAATTTAATACAGTCTGTTGAAAATTAGAATCAGAAACACCCCAGATTAGTAAGTCTCTTTCTTTTCCTTTATTTTAGTTCTTTTTTCTCCGAATACCGGCAGGTGTTGATTCCGATTGCGTAGTATCCGATATGGAAGAATTACGCACACGTATTGCGCAATAACGTTTGCGGTATTTTGCATTGATAATTAATTTTGATGTTCGGTCTGAGATTTGTTTATGCACACTTAACCCCTTCGAGCCGGGTAGCGAAAACGCGCGCTTAAAGCGGAGCGCGCTTATTTCTTGTTTAAATGCATATATTACACATTTTATTTTAATTACTCACCATTTTATGACTTTTAACATTATACATCTGAAAACTAAATATATTACTTAAAATTCTCTTTTTCGTATGAAAAATTTTAAAACAGGGATCTACACACAGTCCTACGTTACATTCCTTGAACTCCTAATAACTCATTTGCCGTTTTGGAGGATTTTTCCGGGAATGTGAACAAACGAAGCATCGTCGTCTCATTTTCTTATCAGTCTTTTCTGAACAAGTTTTGGAAAATGTCTTTCAGTTAATCTTTCAGAATCAGTATCAGAATTTCAGAATCAATATCTGAAATATTTTGCATCATTTCTGCTATCTCATGCTCTGTTAAACATTTTCGACACTTCGACATTGAAACGGTAAAAACAGAAAGAATTCATGTCTAACAAAATCTAATTATATTCTAAAAACTGAACTGTAAACCAAAATACTCAACGCTTTAGCGCATATAAAACTTCTACTTACAATAAACAACTACCACGTGCGAATAAAGTGCGATTTAAAGAGACGTCATAAATCACGCCATTCGGAAACATTTAGTTCCCCGTTTGTTTATATAATAAAAACACGTGTATGTGAGTCATGCTTCTCTCATTTCGAGTAGAAGGTCTAATGTACATGTATCTGAAACCATATGGGCATACAGTGCCATCTTGTGGCAGAAATTATAGTTTAAAAAACGTTCCAAGGTACTGGCACAAATACGTGACAGTCGGTAGAAAACGCAACAATGCTCTGGCACGCCTGCGTGTCGGCCAGTAGATAAGTGCGTTCGTTGCTGGCACATATACGTGTCAGTCGGCGCGAAGGGGTTAAAAGAGTTTTACTGTGCTTTCTAAGCAGAATATTTCTCAGTTCCATTGGTTTTTATATGATGCACATATCAAAATGTCAAAAAGCATTTATTTAGCCTAAATTTAAATCTAAAGAACGGCTGCAGCTACTATCTCCCCTCCGCTCCTCTTTTTCCAGTTTACGTATCAACTGTTCGAATATTCGGGCCAATTTTCGAAGTATGCGGGTAGTTAAGCTTTTACTGTTAAAGGATGACTGAATGAAGCAATTTTCTGTCTTCTGATTTCAGAAATGTGCCTCTTTTATTACTTAAATTACTTTGCTTGGGATATATGTGTTAAGGAAAACTGCTATGCAATGAAAATTTAGAAAATGTTCAGAATTTAAGTTAAATTATTTAAATATTAATATGAGTGGAAAAATAAATTGTATTTATTATTAGGTGCCAAATGAATACAATTAATATGGCTTATTATTATTTATTTTTTATATTTTCAACTGAAATATCATCATTAAATTTTGTAATATAGTTTAGTTCTGCATAGTTTTTTTTTTTTCTCTCATTGTAAACTAATTCTGTAAATTGAACTGTCATTTAAAATTAAAAAAAAAAAAAAGTTAATTGTTTTCCATTGTTGAGGTAATGCTCATTCTCTTAATAAATATTGCAGTGTTCATATTTTAAATTACAAGTCTAATTTTTCTTTTAAGGTTATGCAGTTGTGTATAATGTAATTAGACAGGTGCTTATTTTTTCCTTAAAATGTGCTTGAAAAGTGCTTATAAGTGCTTATTTTTTTAACTAAAATGTGGCTATGGACCCTGTTAAATGATTTATACGAGTAGAATACTGAAAGATATATAATCAGTATACTCAATGTATATTTTATATTTCCTTTTAAAATCAGTTGTTCATAGATGCAAAATAGACTTTGAAATGAAGATTGTAAAGCAGAGTTAATATAGTGACACTTTTAAAAAAAGTGTATACTTTATTTGCTTTCACTTAAGTTTAAAGTTTTTTTTGTTCTGTAAAATATCCCCCCCCCTTAAATAATGAGATAGTTTTTATACTGTAAGCCTAAATATTGTAACATTTATACAGTAAGTGTAAGTATTCTTCTAAAGTATAAAATTATCTTTTCAGTCAGTATCCTGAACCAGACATTGACTCAAATGAATCAGAATTTTCTACTTACAATCTACAACAGAATTATTCGTATGATGATGTTCGTGCTGAAGTTTCAGCAGAAGTACCTGGTCAGTATCTGCTGTAATTTTAAGAGTATTGCATTTTTACTATTAGAATAAATTAGTGAAATTGTTATAATTTAGGGTAGTTTTATTGTTGAGACTACATACTTCTTGTGATAGTTTTAAAGATGAAAAAATTTCACTGTAAAAACAGACAGCTGTAGATACTTTGATATTCAAATACATTTTAAAAAATGCTTGCAGTTAATGCATGAGTTTCAATGCTTGAAATTAGGTGTTATTGTGTGCAAAAGGTAAAGATTTATGCTACCATAAAAGAAATTATCACCCCCTCATTTGTGGAAAACTTTTGTTTCAAGCTCTTATGCTGAGATGATCCAGTAAAAAATAAATAAATAAAACTGCTCGCCTTAAATAACTAAATCTTTTTATCATTACCAGAGTATAAAACTTACTATAAACTTATCATGAAAAGTTAAAATTACAAAGATGAAATTGTGAATGGTGTTGTATTTACGTTTGTTTTATTTTGGAAAATTCTAACTTTTAGTAAATTTATTAATCATTTGTGAGTTTTTTGTCTTTAAAAAAGTTTTGTTTATCAGTTGGCATTTAAGATAGCTAACTTAAGTGCTTAAATTTTTTGGCTGTATCCTAGGATTAAATAATGGTTACTTTCATATTATCACAACCACCTTTATAAAAGTTGCCATATTTTCAGTATGCCAGACCAAATATGACAGAATGTGGCAACAATGCCCATATGCTTCAATTTTTAACAAGTAACTTAGCCATTTTCTAATGGCAACCATGCTCATGCTCTTCTGTTATGTTTGTTGATTTTTGCCACATTCCAAGGTACAACAGATTTTATTAAAAAAAGGGTTTTTTTTTTTTAAATTTTTATTTTATCATGAGCACAGTTTTAAAATATGTGCTTGTGGAATTTACCTACAATGGAAGAAAATGCAGTGAAATTTCTGCACTAATATAGTAATTCAATGAAAAATCTTCAAAGGGAACAGCTGCTTTGAATTCTTAAAGCAATTACCATAAGATTCCAGTGAGGAAAAAGGAACAAAAACTTGTTGTAAATAGGTTTATTGACTAATTTTCAGAATAAATATTTAATTAAAATGTAAAATATATGTGTAATAAGAATTTGCTATTATGAGCCACCAGTTCTTTTTCTTCTTCTGTAGTAAATTTGGTGTTCAGTGGTGGTTTTTTTTTTAAGAGGGAGAGAGGAAGGGAAAATTGTCCTTTAGAAGTAGGTAGATGTTGAATGTGAAGGATCTGCATTCCATGGTAATTTTAACATCATGTGGAAGCACCGTCACTTAAATTGTGTTTAAAGGAATTATGAGCATTTTTTCTGTATGCCTTTAATCTAATGGTTAGCAGCATATTCATCCTACATCGGAAAGATCTGCAGTTTGATTCCTTATGAAAACATAACTGATTTTTTGTATTTTCTTCTCTAAAAACCTAGTGTTTACAGTTGAATGTAAATGAAATATGATGTACAATGACATATCACTGCATGGATTTGGAAAATCTTTTCTATTTGTCTTGGAGAAAAGTAGTGAATTATGGAATTTTTCTGTGCATGCACTCATCGCACAGTAGTTAGCATATCTAGTGAGCAGTTAGAATATCTGCATTCTGATTTCCAGGGCTTAGTTGATTTTTCACGCATTTTGCTCCAAAAAACCCCAATGGTATCTGTATGTATTTATGTATGTAGGTAGTATTGGAAGATATGGAAAGTTGTAAAATTCTTTTCAGAATTTCATCAGCAGAATCCTGTGTGAATTGGATAATGACTATATTTTGATGTGATAGTTTTTCTCAATTAAGTTTGGAATTGTTAAACCAATCCTAAATGCTACACTTCAGGGAACAATTGATGCCATTGATGCAATATTAATTGTAATATGTGAGCAGCTATCATAACTGGGGCATTTTAAGTCTTTTAGTTCTTATCTTTAATTGGTGTAATATTAAAATTGAAAAAAATAGGTTGGAGGAAAATAATAATTAACTCAACTTCTCTCTTTTTTTCACCCCCCTTTTTTTCTGCCTCTAAAGGAAAAAAAAAAGTTTGTTTCTGATGTTAAGTTGCAGTTGAAATTCAAAGGTCAAAATGCTGTTTTATCATTAATTTTTTTAAGTAATTCATTGTTAAATAGTTTTAAACTTTCATTCTTTTTCATTTAGATCATAAATCTACACCTTCAGCTCGCTTGACTCCTGTGAAGTATTCATATGCTCATCCCATAGCTCGATTTTCCCCAGGTGGAATGTTAATAACTGTTATGCCTAATCCCCTGAGTACTGCTTTAGCCACACCAGTAACAATACACAGTTTACAGGTATGTATTGTATTGAGTTTGCAATAATAATTCTTGACTTTTTTCCTTTATAATTTTCACAGAGATTTTTACTTCTTTTAGGAAAATAATCTTTCATTCTGATGTTTTCAGGAATCGATAAAAAACAAGGAAATATAGATTATTATAATTTGATACCATAAATGTGTTATTAAAGTTAAATTTATATTTCTGTAGTTCTTTTAACACGTATTAATATCTGCTGTTTTTAATATTTGTATATCATATGTAATTTTTAAAAACTGTTAAGCATTTCTGTAATAAAATTAATATTTTATGAAGTTTTACCCTCTTATGTAATAAAAATAAAATTGAAAAATTGAGGGAATTTGCTTACCCAGATGCTAAAAAATGCAAGAAGTTGGTTTGCAGAATGTTTTGGAAAAACTTAAGCATTAAGTAATAGATTGGTAAGACTAAGATTTTTTAAATGTTCAAAATTTTTTATCCTCCTTCATTGAAATATAGGTTATAGTTTACACATTAGTCATTTAATCCTCAGAGTGGTGTTACATTTTTGATCTGCTAATGAAAACTATAGAAACATCACTTATTAACTAAATTTGTATCATTTAGTATTTTAGTCTGTTTTCATAAACTTTGATCCATTAAAATAATATTTAGATCATTATGATAAATAAGAGCAGAAAATGTTTTATGTGATAAGATTATATATTTGGAATGACAGAAAATTTCATGACCGGCTTTATCTAGTCATTGGCTTAAAAACAATCAGAATTTTAAACTACATTTTGCTGTACATGTTCTTAGAAATGAATTAAAATTAATATATTTATGTAAGTTTTCATAGATATTTCATGCTGTGCAGCAGGGGTGACCAACCAACCTTTTTGAAAAGAGTGCCACTATCTTAAAAAAAAAAAAAAAAAAAAAAAAAAAAATCTATCTATCTATATATATGAATTTAAGATCATACAACAATGTTACTTTGCAACTTTTCCAAAATACTACAAAATTTAAAAATGTGAAATAAATGTTATTTATGGCTGGTTATGAGATTTTTACACAAGTAGCACTTTTTTCCCCCCTGTAAGTCTGAACATGAGTAGTGAACATTAAAAAAATATAATAAACAAAACAAGTGAACAGTCTAGAGTTTTATTGTAAATAAACATTTTTAAAGGTTTACTCAGTTAGGTTGTGTATAAAATAAAAATGAATAATTTGAAACATTTAATTCTAAATAACTAAATAAACAGGTCAATACTTAGTGTGATTTTTGAATATGTAGTTTTTTTGCCAAGTCATCTATATTAGGATTAGTTCTTGGAGATGCTAACAAAATTTGGCGTATTAGGTGTATTTCATATTATTATCTTCATAATAGAAAACATTTGTTCACAAATGTATGTTGATCCATGCCTACAACAAAACCTGAGGGCCAAATCGTGTAAATTCAAAAAATTTCTTGTTGGTACAAATTTCCAAAATTCAATATAATTTGGATCACTTGCAGTTGAAATAAGTTCCTTATATTTGCTTTTCAGTGTAGTATGCTGCTGTATGTTAGTAATTTCAATTGGGTAACAATTAACATCGTGCAGAGAAACTGAATTATTATATTTATTCTGATGTGCCTATGTGTGTATCTATCAATGGAGATGATACAGATGATATTATTATTTTTTTTTCCAAATCTTTTAATTGAAGACATCTTTGCATTCCACTATTAAAATTCCGCTGTGGCGCACGTGCTGCTGGTTGGCCATCACTGCTGTACAGTGCAACTTTGTTTAACATTTGATAAAAAATATTCAGATGAAGATGATTTGTATTTATTAATGAAATATGCAGTTTGAGATGCTAGATAAAGCTTTTTCTTTCTTTTTATTGCTTAAAAGTATTTTTGGTGGTTTGAGGAGGGGGAATGGTTATGTGAAGAAATGGTTTTTCGATTAAAGACAAGTCTTGACAAAAGCTACTGTGAATTAGGAAATTTAATTTAACTCTTTAAATTTAAGGATTTTATAAAATTTCAGCATTTTGAGTTTTCTTGTTATTAACTTATTTATTTTCAAAAGTGTTTTGTTATTATAGCATTTTATGGACCCTAAATAAAAATCTAGTGATTTATGGGACATATTTATTGATATTTAAAGACATTTTTTCTCTCTACTTTTAAGAAAAAATAAAATGAGTATTCATAGAAGTTCAAATTCAGATTTGAAACTTATGTTCATCTTTCTTAGGTAATTATGGAAAATGAAGAATCTTTCCAAGAATTAAAGAATTACCAAGGTCCTCTTGTTCGGTAAGTTCTCTCTTGAATGAAATAAATTGTTGCACCCCCTTTTTTTTGGCTATTTGAAAAATTATTTAAAAAAATGTTTTGCAAGCTGTATAATTTTAGTTTATTAATTTTATTAGAATTGTGAATATACCTTGCTAAATAACATATCCAACTAATTATTTTTAATTTGTAACATGAGAGTTTTTCCTATGATAATTCATCTAACCCTTGTAATTGTTATCTTTTTATAAATATTAATTTATGTTTTAAAAAAATATTTATTGTAAAATCTGTCTATTTTATATTGTTGATAAGCTTGATAAATGCATAATTCATAATAAATTTTAAATTGTGGAAAAAATTTAAGTTTATGAATTATGTATTAGCACGCATATGTGCATGTAAAGACATGTAAAATATGTGTGTACAGCCTAATTCACTTCATTTTTATTTTGTTGCTTTTAAATTTCTTCGGGTTGAGATAAAAGAATATTAATTTTGAATTTAATTTAACAGGAAAGAGATGATAATGTACTATTGGAGTTTTAAAAGATAAAGAGATAAGAACTATTCTGTAAAAATATATATTCAAACAACTGCGCAGTGTCCATGTTTGAAATTATGTTTTGAGAATCTGTAATTTACTATACTATCTGAATTTAACTTTATTTACCGCTTTTGTACATGATACTACCAAAACTTGGGTATGCATCAAATATTTTCCAAAAGTTCAATAAATCAAACAATTTGCATTACAATATCTTTTACATTATCTTCGATAGCAGCAGTAAGAAATGGTCCATACAAAAACTCATTTCCTCCAATTCAGTCATCCACTTCAAATCAAATGTGTCTTTATTTATTACCTATTATTCAAAATATTTAAAATTTATTACAGACTATAATTTGAATATAATTTTACTAACTATAGTACAACTTTAATTTCTTTATATATATATATATATATATATTATCTTTGAGCAGCAGGGTCTCTGTGAAGTACAAATTGGTTATTCCAATATGGTAAAGCATGCAAGGGCTGTATGCCTAACTGGAGGGATGTCTTCAGAGAGAGCTTTCTGGGGGAAATTGGTTCATATTTACGTTACATATTGGTAGGACTTCCAAAACTAGCCATGTAATCAGCCCATTCACCTGGATGTCAACCTATGTTGATCAACCAGCATTTAGTGGTCTTAACCACTCAGTTGCTTGTGGGGCCAATCACAGGTTAGAAAGCACTGCCTCACATTAATTCTGCTGTTACTTTCTACACTTGTGTAGTTGAATTAATTCAATTCTTTAAACTTATGTGCTAAAACTGAAATTCTGTATTTATTAAAAGAAAAATGGGTATTATTCCATTTTGAGGACCGTAAAAAAATTGCAGCGAAAATGTATGTGCAAAAGTGCCAAATCTAACAAACGCACCCATTTAACAGCGCGCCAATTTTAGCGTACGCTCTGATTTCAGATTGCGTAAGTTTATATAGTTCTATATTTCTTAAGATGCAATTGAAATACTAGTTTAATTTTTAAATCCTTTTTTGATTTTAAATCCTTTTCTGGTATCCTATGGATTTAACAATTTAGGAATTGCCCATGCCGAAAAGTCTGCAGTAAAATTTTGGATAACGTGCAGAATCATCCACTACTTGACGTGTTTTTAAGAATTGCACATACTTGGTATCCATGTACACATCGACCTATCTTCACTTAAAATAAAATATCAGAATTGCGCAAAAATGGCACTGCGCACACCCTTGACTTTATCTATGTATATCGACCTATTTTCACTTAAAAAGTAAAAGAAAATTGACAAAAATCCAATTGTTTTTAACCCTTGTAAAAAGTGGCAAACAAGTAAGTGGGCGATTCTGCACTTTACCAAGCATTTTTTCTAAGAAAAAGCATCATTCATGATAGAAAATTATGTTTGAACAACCAATGAGATGAAATTATGCTTTAGCGATAACTTGGTAGCGAAATAGCAATGCAGGCATGCATTCAGTTATGTTTAGCAAATTTTATAGAAATTATAATAATGATCTGAAATAGTTATTTACTCTTATGCTTCCATTCAGTCATGTTTAGCATTTTTTATATAAATTATAACAATAAAAAATATTATATGAAATTAACTTTTCATCTAAATTAAAACATCAATCTTAGGTAGTTATTTACTATTATACTTCCTTTCTTGCGTTAGGGTTGCCGCAATTATTTTTGGAAGCACTGGCATCAACAATAGTTTGGCAATTTTTTTTACGGCCCTCTAAACCGAATAGTACCGAAAAATGCTTTGTTTTATAGCTGCCATTTCTTTGACATATTTTCCATCTTTAACATCAGGAAATCTGTGCAAGTGTTATTTTAAGAACTGAAACTTATCTACTGCTGATCCAAACAAGTTTGCTCGTTGGAGTTGGAATTCAGCATCTGAAAAATTGTGGACACATTTGGTGCACATGCCAACCACATGCAAACTTAAAATACATTTTAACATACACCAGAATATGCATCCAAAAGTAGGGATTTGTCTGAATTAGAAATGGCATTTAAGACAAAAATAGAATGCTGATGACCAAGCAGAAAATGCTAAATAATTTTGATAACAAAATTTATTCGTTTTCTCGACTAAAGTAGGTTATACACATATTTGCTTATAGATAAAAGAAAAGTGTTTTTAAATCCTTCGAAAATGAGTGTGAATTATATGCATTTTCAGATTAAATAGTTACATATTAACAGAATTCTATTGTATTTTTATGTGGTACATAAAAAAAAATATGAGAACCATTACGCAAGTATAGCATTTTATTAGGTACATGAGGGGGAAGAAAACTGAAATATCACAAAAGACACTCTTGTCATCTATGAGCAATTTTATTGGTTTATATAATTTGAAATATAAATATTGCTAGTTGTTCAATTTTTTAACAGCAGAGTTGTCAAATTATATTTACATCATGTTGTAGTTATGTAGAATATTTCTGAAGTATTAACCCTTTGCAGTATTGGAACTTTTCAATTATTAAATATATTGTAAATTGTGTTAAAGAATATAAAATGTATACTGTTTATTTTTTAACATAAGTAATTAAGTAATTTAAATTCTGTGAAGATAATTTAAAATTTACTTAACATTTGTTGCAGTGGATTGACACATAAAAATGATGTGATTGAATTTTGCTCTCAGAAGATCAAATCTTTAAGACAGAAAGAAGATATTGTTGATAGAGACTCCTATATATTATTGTGGGAATTAATGATTGTTCTGCTGAGGCAAAATGGAGTAAGTTTTTTCCCCCCAGATGTTTTTGTTAATTGTTAATATGGTAAGAAATTTTAACTGTGTATATCAGTAACGATTATCAAGACGAATTTTGTTAGCTCATAATTGTAAATTTTGTCCTTCTAATGCATCCTTAACCCTCTGAGCATTATGACCGGCTTTATCCGGTCATCAGAAGTTTTGCTACTTGGCATATATTAGGTTCTAATTTAAGACATTTTGCTTTCTTACTTTCTTTAATAATGTAAATATCATCTTAATGAATGTAAGTTTATGAAAATACAGACTAAAATAAGTAATTATACGAACTCAATTAATAAATGCTGTTTAAATACTGGTCTTCATGACGGATCTAAAATCCTGTGCTGCTTAGAGGGTTAAATATTATATTTATTTCTTAATGTATTTTTATACTTAAACATTTCATGCTATAGTAGCCTCTTGAAATTCTTTAACAGACAAAAAATGCCTTACATGTCAATTTAGAATACTGTTAATGAAAAAGCACTGAGTATTTTGTTGTGAAGTTTTAATATATAACATGACATGTAATGGAACTGTAATTTTAATTTTTTTCAGTTTTATACTTCATATAATTTGCCCAGATAATATGACTTTGATATTTCTTGTTTTTTATAATGTTACATTTTGGAGGGCAAGCAGCATAAATTCAGTGACATGTAAAGTGTAGCGATTATGCAGTGTATTTTAATTGCAGTTAATATTTTAGATAATTTAAATTTTTCATGCTAAGAATTATTTCAGAATTAAATATTTCTTTTGTAGTTTCTTCCTCTTTTTATTTTGCATTTTTTTCGCATTGAAAAAATATGTTAACCATAAGGCAAAGTTTTAAATTCATCAAAATTTTATTGTAAAAGTTTCACGGATTATTGTTAAAAGTATTTTTACATGAAAAAGTATGAACCTGTGTTCTAAATTTATTATTTGCCACAGTCTGTTGCAGGTAGTGATATTGCAGAATTGTTATTAAAAGACCATGAAGTTTTGAGGCCACACACAGTGCCATTGAGACATGCTATTGAGACACCTCAAGGAGAGCAGTCTCCTGCTGATGTAAATGATTCATCTAGCCAGTCTCATGCAGGAGACACTTCATCACCTGATGAAGGCATTGTTGTGCTTCATGATAAAAGCAGTCTTAACACATCACACACGGTGGATGTAGATAAAGTGACTCGTAAATTTCGAGAGTTTCTATTGTTTGGTCATAAGAAGGTAGAGTTCTTAATTTTATGCGAAAAATATTTAATAAATTTTCTATTTGAATATTTGTATATAGTTACATATAATGAAATGAAATAATGGAAATAATATAATGAAATGGAAGAAAAACATGCCAATGTAAATTTTTAAATTATTTAAAAAGCAACCTTATTTTGGCATAACTGTTGCATAAAATTCTATTGATTTTGAGAGCAGTCGAACTAAGATTCTCCTGCTTTTTTTTTTTTTTTTTTTTTTTTTTTTTGTTGTTGTTGTTTAAAATACTTTTTCAAGATAAAGTATGAAAAACACCTTAATTAGTACCATTGAATTGTAACTTGTATTGAATTGTAACTTGTATTGTATTTACATTCTTATTTATTTTAGTGGTAATAAGTTAATTCTAAATTTTTCAGAAGAGTTGAGAAAGGTAAGAATGAAATACAGTGAAGGAAAGTAATTGAAAGTATAAAAATGATATTCAGTATTTTGATGCATTAGTATATTGTAACGTCTTTAAATGTACATTTTTACCCTAAATTCTGAAAGGAGTGCAACAAAGAAGCTTAGGATGTTATTATATATAGGAAACTGGAAATTAATTTCTTCTCTAGAACAGATAAATTGAAAATACTTCAAAATGTGTTTAAGAGTGTTCAAAATGTTTTTTTTCTTTTCTTTTGTAGGATGCTTTAGAATGGGCCATGAAGCATGGTTTGTGGGGTCATGCCTTATTTTTAGCATCGAAAATGGATTTAAGAACCTATGCTAATGTGATGACTAGGTTTGCCAATTCTCTTGCCTTAAATGATCCACTTCAAACTTTGTACCAGTTAATGTCTGGTAGACAGCCATCTGCTGTAACAGTGAGTTTAAATATTCCTAAATCTGAATACATATTAAAATCGAAGGAAAACAAAATTATTAAACATATATGAGCATAAAATTATGTATAAGATCTTTTCTTAGAAGAATTTTTTTTTTTTTTTTTTGTTCAATGACCTTTGAAATTCTTCTCTATAAAAGTATTTTAACGTTAAAAAAATTATATTTAGTTCTTACATATTATAAGTTATTTTAAAATTGTTTCATGATCCCTGATTTCAGCTGCATGAAATATTTTACTTTTCAGTGAGTTTTAAAAAAATTTAAATGAATGATTTGTATAATACCTTTATATTTAAATGAATGGTGTTGATGAGTGTCATTTTCCCCCCCTGTTTTAGTGTGTAGCTGATAAAAAATGGGGAGACTGGAGACCTCATTTGGCTATGATTTTATCTAATCCATCTACTCATCCAGATGTTGATTCGCGTAGCATTACAACACTTGGAGACACACTGGGTATGTTTAAATTTATTATGAAAGGGAAGGAATGCTTTGACTGCATTTCCCCTCTATTCTGTATTAATTTTACTGTCCAAAAATCGAGAGGGAAAAATTACGCAAATAATTTTTCAAGGGATGCATTTACATAAGAACATAACACATGTAGTCATGGATAAACAGTATTATTTGAAAAGAAACGTAGATTCCAGTAAGAATATAGCAATGATAACATTACAATATCTAATAAGATATCTTAATTTCTACTCCTCTGTAACTTGAATCTCACCTGTTCTTATTATGTTTACTACTCCTTTGGTCTCAATCATCCATAAATAATTAGGAAGGTTATAAAGTATTTCTTCTGCCTTTTTAGCATGCCTTCATGATATAGTGGTCAGCACACTCGCCGTGTATTTGAGAGGTTCGAGTCGAAGGCATTGCTAATTTTTCACATCTTCTGCTTCAAAATAACCTAATGTCTCTACAGTGGCACCCAAACTCAAAAAGTTGGTGGGTGATAATTCTCCACCACCAGGATTTGGCAATTGGGTCCCCTAATCCCCAGTCACCATTTAAAAGGGAGAGTACATAAGGTATTTCTCCCGCCTTCTTAACATGCCTTCATGGTATAGGGGTCAACACACTCAACGTGTATTCGAGAGGCCCGAGGTTCGAGTCCCAGCGAGAGCATTGCTCATTTTTCACATCTCCTGCTTCGCAATAACCTAATGTCCCTACAGGGTGAATGTGTGACTGACAGAGTGAAGTCGTGGACTGAATGTCAGTTCATGTTTGCTGCACTGTGATTGGCTGGTTCTGGTATTAGTCTGGCATAAAATTCAGAAGTTGGAAAGTAAGAATTCAGTATGACCTTCACAGATAGTTTGTGAGAGTTTGTGTAGTTAGTAAGATGAAAATAATCGCTATGTAGGCAGATCCATTTAAATTTTTTTTTTGGGGGGGGGCTCATTCTCTGAATGCATCAAGGAAATGGAATATTGTGGGTCCCCTTCCCCCCCAAGAATCTGATGTTAAAATGCTAGGGGGAAGTATGTGAAGAAACACAGTATTTCTTTCTTTTGGTTTGATTTTACAAAAGTAGACATAGAGATCTTGCTTTTGTATGTACAAGATAAAAATGCTACAAGGATTTCAGATGCATGTCTGTAGAAATCTACGCTCTCATTTAGCATGATACGGGGACCTCTGGTACAAATCTTTGCGGCTGAGTAAATATTCAAGCATTTCATTGCACAGTTGGAAACACTCAGTTCTTATAAAACTGAGTGAACCATTTATTGTACCATTTCATTTGTCCTTTGATTTTATTTATTTATTCCTTGATTTTATTTATTTATTCCCCCCCCCTGGTATGTAAGGATGCATATGACTTTTGTACTAAGTATTTTAAATAAAAAATATGAGACGTACCAAAATAAAGTAAAAAAAAAAGTTTTAAATAAAGTATCATAAGTCGTTAGTAATAGTAAATAAAATTCTATTATTGTTTAATTTGTCTTTAAATTATAGAGAAGCATTAAGTTAAAAGGGAATAAAAAGTGTATTACAGTCAAAAGTCGTTAATCCGGACTCGTCGGGACTTTGGCGATTCTGGATTATAGATCATCAGTTTAAATCTGGTAAGATGGCATGCAGAAATTATAAAATTAAAATTATGAAACCGTAATTTATGAAATAAAGAGCAATTATGATCTAAAGGGTATCAAAATTTACAAAAAAAAAAAAAAAAAAAACTTATTATTTATTTGTTTACTTTATTAAACATTTCTTTCAATGTAAGTTGTTTAAGTTGCTTCATTTTTTGTGCTAATACTTTCTCTTAAATTCTATAAACAGACATAATTTCTTGTTCAGTTACAAAGTTCCGTTGTTTAAGTCCCGTAATTGCTGTGCCGAGAATATCGACTAACTTGTCAATCGAAATTTTTTCGTTTTCACTAACCTCTCTGTCACCTTCTTCATGTCTTTATCCATTTGTTGCAGCAATTCCACTTTTTGTTTGATGGACATCGAAACATACTTTCGTTTTGTAGATCCTTTGAGAGCTCCAGCATCGGAAATTCTATTTGACATAATCGAAAGTTCAAGTTTACATTTATAAACTTGCTCTTACAGTCTACAAAAAATAATAAGCCGCATCCAATTCGAAGATTAAGGAACAATGCAATCATCAACATTAACTGAAATAGATAATTAGATAATTTTAGCTTATACCTTCCGTTATACATTAAATGCGCACGCGAAAACGTATTCTGCGCTTGCGCACATGCCTATGCGCAGTCGTAAAGGTCTTACGCACATGCGTAAACGCCTATGCGCATGTGTCAACGTGGAGAATGCGCAGAAACTTTTTAGCTTTGAGATCCAGATTATAGAGCATTCTGGATTATGGATGTCCGAATTAACGACTTTTGACTGTATACCTTTATGTTCACTTGGTAAACATTTAAATATCCTGAAATGAAACTTATTATCTTACTAATCAGAAAAAATAAAATAGTCATTTGCCTGATTTTATTAATTTTGTTTAACCCTCCGGAGGTTTTGAAAGAGATAAGGTATTGTTTTGTAAAGCATCAGCAGCTTTATCAACAAAATGCTTCAACAGCATGGAAGTTTTCTGTCACTGTATCCACCGAAAGCGTTAAGCAGTTTTTCTTTACCCCCTATACCTGCAGAGAATCATCCAGATGAACTAATTAGTGTAGGCTCTAAAAGTATCAAATCACTATCAAAGCTTTGCCCTTCAGGAGTTTTCAAGAAGTAGAATGCTTCAAAAGCGATCTGACCTTGTAACAGTAACTGTTCGCTTTATGCTATGGATTTTGTTATCAAATAAAAATTTTGAGGGAAATTGAAAATCAAGACTTTAAAAGAAAAAAATGTAAATGTTTAATTTTTTTTTCCATTCATGAACCTCCATTTTTATGTATGTGTGCGTGTTTATATATATGTATATATATTTAAATTTTATGGAAATCAATGTGCATATGGCATTAATATTAAAAAATATTTTTGTGTTTCTAATACCCTTCACTTTATTTTATTGAATTTACTTCTTTATACAATTGCTTGCTAGGATAAAAGGAATATTTTCTTACTAAAACAATATGATTTTTGATAGTTCCCAAGATAGTTTACTTTTTTTAATAAAGTAAAACAGGATTCGCACGTTCCTTAAGAGTCCTTAAAAGTCCTTATATTTTTTGGAATCGATATTTGGTCTTTAAAAGTCCTTAATTTTGGCCAAAATCAACAGAAGGTCCTTAATTTTAATCATCTGAAATTTCTGTCTGTTTTTACGACTGTCATTTTGAGTGTGAATTAGCATTTTGAGGAATATTTTTGGTGATTCAATGCCGTATATATGGTAATCTTTTGAATGGGTTCATGAGTTATAATTTATTTCTATTTCTAATATAAATGATGGGATACTCGAGTTTCTAAGCAAGAAGTGAAACATAAGCATTTCGAAATTCATTTATTCTAGTAAAGAGCTCTTAAACAACTTTTTGCTTTTGGGGATGTGAATTCTTTTATTAAACTGTTCTAAATTTGGTGACTTTTCAACATTTTGGCGATTTTAAGATTAGTTTCTATAGAAACTTTTTAATTCCAAAATTTGAGAAATTTTCTACGATATTTTTCAAAACATTGTAACATTGATAAATTTTATTAAAATAAAAGTAATATATTGAAATTATATTTAAAAAATAATATTAAAATAAAACATTTTTATTTTTCGCCGTCATATTATAAAGTTTCATTTTGGCAACTTATACAATATTTTAAATCTAAAAGTAAACAAGGTATAATGCTATAAAGCACAATTTACGAAACAGCTCTTAGCAAATGCAAAATTAGCTATGTAATTAATTAAAAGTGTCTTGCTTTTAATTTTTTCATAGTAAGAGTTTTTCCCATGTAATTGTCTCAGAATATTCAAAATTCTCAGATTCTCAGAATGTGCATCAGTTTTCTCTATAAAACTAATTTTATACTTTTTCCCTCCTACTTTTTTCCAAAATATTTCTGGCTTTTTTCTGTTACAGAAATGGTAGAGATAATTTTTCTTTAGGATTTTAGACATTGCAGCTTGGAAAGTTTAGAAGGATTTGAAGGCAAGACTTATAGACCCACAATTCTAGAAGATTCGAGAAATACGTGACAAAATGAAAAATGCCTCCATTGTATCAACACGTAGTGGATGTATTTTACAGAAAGTTTGCAATGAATTTCTTAATTTTGGGAGAACATCTGGAAGAAAATGAAAACATAATATTTGAATGTATTACTTCTGATACTAGAATCTTAACATGTTTATCTTCTCTTTATTTTCTCTACTTTTCACTAGACAGAAGCATGGAAAATATCAAAAATGCTTCTGATCTTATCACATGGGCAGGCATTATAGAAAGGGATTTTTTTTATTAATAAAGAAATTGAAAACTTACAATTTAAAAGATTCGTCTAATATTTCTTAATGCATCATACACATAGCTGGCACTAGGCATTTTCCCACCTGATGCAATCTCTGTGGATCCTAAATTCTGCTGCCTACTGCCTTTCTAAATTCTGCTTCCAATGCTTGCTCTAAATTCTAAAAGTTTTGTTGTTCTGTGTGTCACTAAATTCTAGAAATTCTGCCACATCAGCTCTGTAACCGTCCTTTACTATATATATTTCATATTGCTTCTGAATGTTCATATTACTAAAGAAATAAAATTAGCCGCTTTTTCTGTACATTCTAAATGCATTTAGTGTTTTTTAGAATAACAGAAATACTTAATTAAATCCAAAAATTCTAAAATGAAAAGGAAATGTGTTGAAGAAAGAAACTGAGTACATAAAGAAAATTATTCTTCAAAGATATGTGCAGTTATTATTGTGTAAATTACCCAATTGTTTATGATTTCAACCTTTACTATAATTTCTCATTTCTATTTCCTCATATGATAGAGTTATTGAGCCAGATTAAATTACAATTAAATTGTATAATCTTTGACCACTAGTCCACATTATTAGTTTGAATCTGACTGTTCTTGCTTAATTACGCCACCATGAGCTGCAATTGATTTTGTTAGCATCAGAACATGCCTTTATATTCTAAGTTCTTTTTAAATAAGAGGCTTATTTAAACCTTTATCTGATATTGCAGTTAATTTCAGACATAGCGATAATATGCTTCACATCTGTCGGGGGGGGGGGTGGACTATTTAAATTTTACCAGATCAATTAAATCCTCATAGGTACATTATGGAGAGGTTGACAAGTTAGGAGATGAAGCACACAGAAACTGGTGAGAGCATTTTTTTGCATATTGAGACAAATCTCTAATTGTTAGAGAAGATGCTTAAAAGAGAAGGAAATCGATATAAGCGTTCATATACGACTAACTATCATAAGTGTAAAATATTTAATGCTACTTGATAAAGTGCATAGTTTATTTTATTCTCAAACTTATTAACAATTATGTTAATTAATTCATGTTTAGTAATAATGCATACTACTTAGGGATCTATTTTATTTTTAGGATGGTATTACAGAAGTGAAATTCAGGCATAGATAATATCTTCAATTGAATTTATTCAGTTCCCGTTTGCTCATAGGTCCTTAATTTTTTTATTAATGAATGGGCCTTTAAAAGTACTTAATTTCCATATGCAGAAATGTGTACGAAACCCTGTTAACAGTAACTGCCAATTTTTTTAGATTATCGTACATTCAAGGCTTTTGAAAAGTGACCACTCTTAGATTCATAATTATTGTCATGTGCTTACTCACCACAAAATTGTAATTTGCAACAATAACAAAAAATCATAATATTGAAAACTTGATCTCTATAAGCTATAAGCATAATTTCAGTGGTCTTTGATGTAGCATAATAGGACTTACTTGTTCTTAGTCTTTGAAACAATGTTGTTATAGTGGTTTCAAATTATAATGGTTAAATTTTGCTGCACAAAATTGAATGATTTTATAAGTTAGGAATAGTGTTATTTTGGAAGTGTGAAAACTTCTGTCCTTGAATTTAAACAGATTCATGAACACTAGCGGGCAAGCCCGCCAGCTGAGTGGGCTGCGCTAGCTCCCTTGATTCACATATGCATCCACAAGATACTTCATAAACGTTACACATGCGGAAAATCACGAAAACACCCGATTCACCGGCATTCAAAAGTTGGACCAAACTACCAGTGTACAGCAACTTTACCTGGGCTGCACCCGCTTTATTCATGTATGCATGCACAAGATCACTCGTGCAGCCAGCCTGTTCACTGGGATTGAAAAGTTGGACCGAACTACCAATGTTTAGCGATTTTACCCGGGCTGTACCCGCTTTATTCACGTATGCATCCACAAAATACTGCATACGTGTTACACATGCAGAAAAGCAGGAAAACACCCATTTTTTGCAGAAATACTCGTACAGGAGTCACAGTATCACAAAGTATAATAAGTAGTTAAGCTTCAAATTACTAAAAACGTTAAACATAACGCATCTAAAGAGAAGGCTAACTTGGATGTATCTCAAGTCAGGCAGGAACTAACGACTCGCACAACAATCATTAAGCAACTGAGACCCAAAGCTTTCTCTTTCACTTTAAATAGTTTTCAAGCCAGCTGCTGAGATATTTCTAGTACTTTCTGTTTCTTGAAATTACTGGAAAGCAATATGAGATTAGAATTACGATTATAGCTAATGTAGTGGTCAATTTCAATATATATTATGGTGATACAGGGACTGGACCAAAATGTTGTCAAATGTGACGATTTCTCACCAAACTTAATGACAAAATCACCAAAACCATTGTCAGCTTGCTGATATCTCGCTAGATATCGGCAAGCTGACCCATTTATTTCCTTTGAGATACCCATTTATTCAATGATATATGTGCTTGTCCCTGTATTCTTACTTTTCCAGTATAACTTTCTCTTAAAATTTGTTTCAAAATTTCATTACACTGAAAAATACAGCAATTTCACATATAACTGAACTAAAAGGATCTGTGTATGTACAAAATTTGTAACAATATAAACGAAGCTTCATGAATATAATAGCTTAAAATCTAAGAGCTTCAGACAATTTTTTTAAATATAATTAAGATTTGAAGGTATGAATGTGTATAGATATTAAAACATTAACTGTATAGCTTCTCACTATGATATGAAGAAGAAAGAACTAACAAATATATGTTTGTTTTTGAGTATAGCTAGACAAGATATATAGTTTTTTTTTTTTTTTTTTTTTTTTTTTTTTTTTTTTTGTTTGCAAAAAGTAGTGTGCAAACTTTTTCAAAGTACATTAAGTTTTGTAAAAAAAATTTAGAATGAAAAATCATTTAACAGTGGTAAGTGTTAAATAAGTAACTTATTTCTATGTTTATTTATGCTAGCATTTTATACTTAAACTAAGAAATTTTTTTGATATAAATTTAGTTTTTTTTTAATTAGTTGGTTCTTATTAAAAAGATAAATAAAATAAAATAAAATGATGTGAAGCAGAATAAAAAAAGTGTACTTTGCATTTAAATTTTGAAAGTGTATTTAAAAGTTCTAAACTGGTGAAATAAAAGGAAAAAATAGTATCTCTGTGCAAGACTTTCTGAGCAAAGTTAGCCAATATTTATGTTGCACATGAAGAAACCAACAAAACATCCAATCACCCAGCGATTAATATGGCTCTTTTCTGTCATAATAAAGAATAATTTGAACTTGGATTGAAATACCGTGTGTAAACAGTCTTTCCTGCAAAATCAGTTGTAGACAGCCATTTAAAGAAAAATTCTCAATTTAAAAGTTGCTTTTTAATCCACTACTGAGTTTTAAGAAAGTTCATGCGTTTTTACAAGTGTGCATCATCAGATTAGTAGACTTATAAGAATCTGTTATAAGAATGAAATGCTGGTACTTGCACAGGTACTGCATGCATTTTAGTGTTTAAAATATTTAGCAATTTTCATATATATGAAAATATTAATATGTTATAGCCATTATCTTAATCACATACACCTTCTTCATATCAATATTTTATCTTTCTGTTAGCCAGCAGAGGCTGTCTTCCAGCTGCTCATTTTTGTTATATCATGGCACAGGTTGAATTTGGCACATTTGAACAGAAAAACAGTAAAGTTGTGCTTCTAACTGCAGACCATACGTAAGTATATATCTGTCAACTCATGAAATTTTACATGTAAATTTTATGGAATATATGAGCTGAACTTTTATATATTGAGATATCTAAAAAAAAATTTAGAATCTGCATACTTCCAAAGGACTATCCTATTATTTTCTGTTAATTGGGCACCACTCAACACCAAACACACATTTCCTCCTGGTTGTAATGGTGCAAACATCGCAGTACCTGGTCTGAAACCCACGTCCATTGAGAAATTGATACTTTTGAATGTGCCTGTATGGAGTTCGTACTAAAAGTTCAAAAAGCTTTAAATTTGAAATAAATAATTACTCACTGGCACTCTACAAGAAAAATGCCTTCTGAAAAACCGAGAACAATTTGGTGTTGTTCTGGCTAAGAAAGATATACATTAATGATGAATACTAGTGCAACATAACATGTTGCAGAAATGCATTTTCAAGGCAAGTAATGAAGGAATTATATATCAATAAAACATGTTGCTTACAACATAAAATACAAAGTTAGTTCACCCAAATAACCATGATTTAAAAAGAAAGTAGTGATTCAGAATATAAATATTAAGTTAATAGTTGGGCAGAATTAATTTCATCTACTGCTAGAAGAATTAATTACCTCTGAAAAAATTTTCAGAAATATTAAATAGAAGAAATAAATTGTCTGTTGATTACTTCATGCTAAGAATTTCTTCTGTGCATCCGACTAAGGTTAAGTCAAATGCAGAAAATTTAGAGAATATGCTCATAGCTTTAATGTTTTGAAGAATTCATTGAATGCACCTAACATGCTGCTTTCTCTACTAATTTTGCTTGGCCTTTTCCATCCATGTGTTGGATCACTATGTCTAGCAATTCTCAGTTCCTTACTCTGTATCATTACATGGTTTTTGGATAACTGTTTGAGGAATCCTTTCCATTTTGAAATATTTTTACTTTGGACTTTGGGTTTTTACTTTGGGTTCTTTGGACATTTGTAATAACTGACAGTGTGAGATTGTCCACAGTTGCAACAAGTTAACTTAGAGATCCACTCTGCATCACAGTCTGAATTTTTGTGAGGGTCTGAGTATTTAATGCACCTTCAGTTGCATTGGTCTGATGATTGGTAAAAATATTGGCACTTATGATATTAAGTAACCTCACTTTTTTTTAATTTGTAAGATTTGACAGAAACACTAAAGCATAATAATTCAATAATTTCTTAAATGTGCTCAGTTTCAGGTTGTTAGCTAACTTAAACTGGAAAATAGACATTACTCTGGTACAAAAGCAATACATTGAGCCTACTTTAATAACAATGAATCCTTTGGAACGATTCTATCTGCTGGGCAATCTGACTATATACTTTTGATAACAACCTTTATGAGTTTAACATTAGCATTATGTACAGCAATGTACTGAATGACATTTAATTCTAAGTACTGCGTTGTATTATGATTATCTTCAATTCAGAAAGGAATAATTTTCAGAAGTTCTCTTGCAGCTCAAGCAATAAAAATACAGTTTAAATATTAACACAGTTTTTTAACAATTTCATCAAATTTAATAAGTGGAATAACCATTATGAGTTTGATTCTCACCTGGGGTTGATCACATGCATTTTGAAACTTGTCCATAATTTCAAAAATTTGCAGATTTGCTGGGGGAAAATAAACCCATCTTGACTAATTTTATCCTTCCCTTGTTTTTTTTGTTGCCTAAGTTTTTTTTTTTTTTTTTCCTGTGTTAGAGAGGGTACAGTACAAGTTATCCACCCTTTTTTTACTACATCAGAAAATGATAAATTGCAAGCGTCTCTAAATTTAACAGCATTATTACACAAATTAGCTTCAGAACTATTACATACCTTAAAAATCATACACTTACTTCTCAAGTTGTAGATTCTTTTTTCCACTCTTGTAAACCTTTATCCACATAAGGGCTTAAGGATGCTTTATTTGCTGTGCATATTAAACTAACGTTATCATCCATGGTCATTAAGAAATCCTCAGTTTTGATGAATTTAAATTGGTTAAATTTATCTTTAAGAATTTTCGTTTTTGTCAGTGAAATCTAATTCCAGGTCACTAACCGAGTCATTCAAATCATTTTCTGTATCTGACTCTAAGCTATATAAATTATTAGTAACCATCATCGAAAATTCCTTGCAAAAAGTGCACAGAGCATAATCTCATAGTTGTAATTCATAAAAAAAAAAGCACAGACATAAAATCACTAAAGTGAAAACATATGATCATCAGTGGAATTAAAAATTCACCATGCTAACACATTGAGCTTCCAACAGACAAATGAGAAGACATTGGTGCTGTAATGTATTTTGCAGTAATTTACAAAGCAGACAATCTTCTTAGTAGAACATAAATTTTATTTCTAGTTCTTGATGATAGACAAATTTTATACAATTCTTAAGTGGCAAAATTTTAATCCTACTCCTAGCTGTAAAATCTTCAGAATACTAATCTTTTTTTAACAATATCTCTCGTTGCTGAGTAACGCTTTGATACAAATATGGCGTTGCCACTTTAACAATAATTATACTTATTTATTAAATAACAAGATATTACAACCTCTCCCCCCTCTAGATAAACTTTAATTTATATTTTTATAAATTAAAGTTTACGGGTTTTTTTTTTCAAAAACAACAATATCAGCACAATACAGAATTGAAATACAAGATATAACATAATAAGATACACTGAGGAAGAGAGGAAGGAACAAAATATTTTTTTTATCTACATAGAGAAACAAATTATTTAATCAGGCCAGGGAGTCCGACGTAATGCGTCTACATTTTTATGGTTTTTACCACTTCGATGAACGATCGTGTAATTGTAGGGTTGTAGTACTAGTGCCTATCTCATAAGTCGTGGATTTAGACTTACATTATTTTTGAGCCAAACTAAGGGATTATGATCGGTCATAATGAGGAATTTAGTATGCCTGTCTAAATAACATTGAAGTTTCTGTACAGCAAATATTATGGCGGCGCATTCCTTTTCTATGGTAGAGTACTTTTTTTCAGTTTCTGTAAACTTCTTACTGAGGTATAATACTGGATGTTCATTGTCTCGTTCATCTTTTTGAGCTAAAATGACACCCATCTCAGAGTCTGAAACATCCTCCTTATTGAAATCAGGTGAGTGTGACAGAGGCTTTTGTGGCAGTTTTTCTTCTTCAACAACTTGCTCTTGTCTGTTTAGTTTCTTTAAAAACTTCTCTTTGATTGGCATCTCAACTCCAAAACTTGGCAATTCATCTGGAACTTTTAACTGAGAATCGTTTAATTTTGTCAGTTCTTTCTTGTAAGATAGTTTTTGCTCTTTGTGAGATGAATCTTTGTTCTTATCTGCTACTTGCACTCTCATTGAATGTGGCAACTTTGAATATCCTTCATCATGTTTATGCCTCTTTGCTAAGTTTTCTGACGTGAGCTTATATTCTGAATGTATTTTTAATTTCTCAGCTTTAGAAGCACTTTCATGAGTTCTTTTATAAGAATTTCTTTGATCTGCTGCTAACAAACTGTCAAACACATCTTTACTTTTTGGAGAAGAAGGAACTGGGGAACTTGTAGGGCAATAATCACACACACTATCTACAGAAGATGAATCAGCAGGTAAATAAGGTGAGTCAACTTCCATATAAATAACTTCAGTTTTCTTATCAAGAGATGAACGCTTAGATTGTTTGTCAGATTTCTGTGAAGCATTGACAGAAGCTTGACTTTTAGGAGGGTGAGTGTTGACTAAATTACCCTGAGTTTTAGCATTATTATTTGTTTGGTTCTGCATCAAAATTGTGTAGTTCTGCATTTGATCCCTATATTTTTCAGGAATAACAATTACTTCATTTTCATTTCCATTTTTATCTAATTTTATTTTTCATCAACAGCCCGTTTCCTTTACTTTGAAATCATTTGTCTTGCTGGAATTTTTCACTTTTTAGCTTCGCTTAAGCAATGACGCTAGATCTCTGCTTTGATGCTGAGATTCAATTAATTCCTTTGAATTAACATTAATCACTTTCTTAAGTTTCCTTGTCTTCCTCATCAGCTTGAGGTAAAATATCTTCGTCAGTTTCAATAAACTTCAGTTTTTCTAGTTTCTCCATTTCAGTGCCTCTACTTGATCTTCTTCATGAGATCGTTTTACTTGAGATCGTGTCAAAACCGCATTTATCTTTTCTAAATTTAAGAATTGTTTATTTTTGAACAACTGAGCAGTTTTGTTACCCAATACATATCTGCCAGGATCATTTGTAACAACAGCTGCCTTTGTCTTTATATGACCAAGTTCACAATTAATTTCAACTTCCGCTAACGGTAGACACACTAAATGGTCATTTAAAAGATATTGTACCCAGATATGTTCTCCAGTCATTTTTGCGTTATCTATGTATTTTCGAGAAATAACATCTACAGTGGCTCCGGTGTCTCGAAGAATAGGCATTTCATACCCATTAACTAAAACCGTTAATTATATATATTATATATGTCTCTAACAAATCATCATTTGAAAATACGCAATTTACCTTTTCATTTGGTTTTAAGCGAGGGCACACTTAAAATGTTCGTATGGTCGATATCTTTTGTCATATAAATTTTCTTGGTTTTTGTTTTGGAAATGATTTTTTTTGTCGATGATCTTTCTTGTATTTTGAATCATCCCATCTATCAGAATGCTTAAAATGAGGCGGATGCTCTATTTTTTTTCACAAAATTATCATAACGCAGGTTTAAATGATCCTTTGTTAAATTTTCTCAGTCTGATTGGCAGAAAATTTCGGTTTTATTGTTTTTCTCACATCTTCAAAATCTTCAATTTTCTTAACCATTCAGTAGGTGAAATGATGGTTGTCCATTGATCCATAAAATGTTCTTTGAAATCAGGAGAAGTACGCTTTTTTATTTGATCAACCAGCATGAGATCTTTTAGCTGTTCAAAAGTTTTAATGTTTAATCCGTTAAGCCATCCTTCTAAATAATTCTTTAATTCATAGTAGAAATCATACCAAGTACTTTCAGTAGATTTTTGGTGTTTATTAAATAGTTGTCGAAATTTTTCCGCACTCAATTTAAATCGTTGTAACAGTAAAGTTTTTACATATTCATACTTTTTCGCTTCCTCTTCTGGTTCTCTAGCAATAAGCTGAACAATGTCAGGAGGCAGTAATGAAATAAGTTGAGTCACTTGATTTTCAGCAGGTATATTCATTATTTTAGCTTGATGCTCAAATAACACCAGGAATAAACTTATTTCATCTTCTTTAGGGTTGAAACGTGGCATGACATCGTGAATTCTGATTTTTAAAGGCTGCTCAGGTAACTGCGTAGTTTCTGCCGGCTGTGCTGTGGCAGCCATTGCTTCCAGCTGAAGTTTCTGTAGCTCAAAGGCTCTAATTCGCTCTTCTTTTCTTTTTTCTCTTTCGCGTTCCCTTTCTCTTTCTTCTCTTTTGCATTCCTTTTCTCTTTCTTCTCTTTCGCGTTCTTCTCTTCTTTCTCTTTCTTCTCTTTCGCGTTCTTTTTCTCTTTCTTCCCTTTCACGTTCCTTTTCTCTTTCTTCTCTAATTGCAGCCAGTAGTTCTCGAGTAAACTCCTCATCATAATCGGGACTTTCAGTAATCAGTTTATGCAACTGAGCAATCTTAAATTCAGGTTTCACGGTTAAACCTAACTCTTCTGCTAGTACTTTTAAATCCTGTTTTTTACTCCTAGCTAAGAATGACATGTTGACACAAGTTACTTTTAATAGGCTTCCTTTTGAAATTCAATCTAAAAGCTCGTACTTGTATTAAAAATATATAATTTCTGGCGAGATTTAATTTCTCAAATACGAAATTCACACTAACCAATTGGAGAGAATTATTTAAACAACTTTGCCAGGTTGGCACAAAATAATTTAATACTACGTCGGGTTGACGTTTTAACTCACTATTCACAAGCCTCGTTAGCTATAACTATATAAACACCTTTGCCAGTTAGGCAATACAATGGAATTTTACCCACGTCAGTTTGACGATTTTACTATCTATCTCCACGCCTGGTTGGCGATAACAAAAACAATTTTTGCCAGTTTGGCAATACAACTTTTAGAATATACAATCTGTAATACGTCGGGATGACGTTACTATCTACCACACGCCTGGATGGCGAGAACTTAACTTTGCCAATTCTGCAGTATAATCAATTCACTCTACGTCAGTTTGACGTTATTACTTATTTTCACGCGCCTGCTTGGCAACAAATTCAAAACTCAGCTAGCAGTTTTTTTTTTTTTTTTTTTTTTTTTAAAAATGCCGGAATGGCTTACACATATCATTTTCAACATAAAATTTCAATACAAATAAAAGTAAAACATAAATAATAATTTCAAAATACTTCTTTACCACAAATATCAATTATAAATTTAAGCTGAATAATTTTGGGGTCAGTTATTTTAAACAAAATCTTACACGATAAACTATAATTCTGAAATAAAGTATTAAAATTCAATAAAAGCTTTTTTAAGAAAACCAAAAGTTAATCTTATCTTCAGAGATCAGCAGTATCCTATTTTTGACAGTTTTTTGCTCGGACGCAAGTTACAGAAGCACAGAAGATAACCTTTGAATGATCCGCTTCAAATCTGGCTTTAAAACGGCAGACTTCTTACATCCATTTCTCCTTGAAATAAACAAACTTGGCAATTGGTATTAGCAAACTTGTTCTAAAAAATTCAGTAAATTTCTGGGATTAGGAGACCAGCACCATCGAAATTGATAATTGCACTCCTAATTTCCAGTATCTCGGTGGAACCTCCAATTTATTAAGACTGTAATGTATTTTGCAGTAATTTACAAAACAGACAATCTTCTTAGTAGAACATAAATTTTATTTCTAGTTCTCGGTGATAGACAAATTTTATACAATTCTTAAGTGGCAAAATTTTAATACTACTCCTAGCTGTAAAATCTTCAGAATACTAATCTTTTTTTAAAACAATATCTCTCGTTGCTGAGTAACGGTTTGATACAAATATGGCGTTGCCACTTTAACAATAATTATACTTATTTATTAAATAACAAGATATTACAGTGCAAAAGCTAACTAGATGGCAGACCTCATAGAACTTCATAAAATTGAATATATTATTAAATTCAAAATAAACACACACACACACCATAAAAAAAAAAAAAAAAAAAAAGAGAAAAGAAGATTAATACAAACCAGATTTTACCAGATCAGTGTCAGGTCATGAATGATGAATAAAACTGCAAATTTCAATTTAGCATTGCCAAAATTTTGTCTTATGCAGTTGACAGTACATGAATTAAATTGAGTAAGAATCTAGTTGTGGTGGGCAGTGCCTCGCTAATGTTTTATTTCATTTTTCTGTTGTAATTGTGCATCAAAGCATCAAATGTGGTAGCCTATTTAATCCTGTCATGAATAACTATGTAATGATGTTTCAGCAAATAAGAGAGAACAATGAATATCAATCCATTAATTTTCTCCCTAAAATTTTTCAGTTAATTTTAATTCAAGTACTAGTCTTTTTTCAAGAAAGCAAATGTTAAAAGGCCGTGGAGCAGAGCAAGCATCCTATTAACAGTAGAACCTACTCTTCCCCAAGTGTGAAAAGCGCAGCTTTGGTGTATTTAATACAGAGTTGGTTGTTGCTTTCATTTTTGACTTGTTTTGTAGGAGGGGGGTGATAAATTTTCAAGCACTCCTGCAACCAGATAATTTTTTTTTTAACTCTAACTTGTATTTATCTGACTTGTGTATCTTTACTATGCAATTTCGTGATGCGCTTCAAGATCAGCTTTATTAAAGCTCTGTGTTGCTGATTTACTAGCTTGTTAAAAAATTTAATTTACCAATTAGTCAAAAAGTTTTAATGTGCTAATTAATTAAAATAATCCTGTATTAAATTTAAGTAGCATATGTTCTCATTATGTCTGTTAAATGTTTTTAGGTTATCCTTTGATGAATTTGCCACAAATGAAGCAATTCATTGCACAGAAATTTATGAATATGCCCAGAGTTTAGCTAACCCTGGTTATATGTTAACTCATTTGCAGGTATTTTTATCATTCAATTGTATTATTATTATTACTACTCAGTTGTTAGAGTGGGTATTAGCAGCCAGCATGATAACTATTAAATAATTCTTGGTTAGCTGCTTTAAATCATGAAATTGTTTGTTTTAAATTAGACTTACATGAAGAGTGTTTTAGTATTTTATATAAATTAATCTGAGTAACAGTCATACATTTTGCCATCACTGTTTTCAAATAATACCGATAATTTATTTATATTATTGAATTGTTACTTTTTAGTTGCATTTTCTCCCATTCATTATGACATTCCTATTTAATTATATATGATTTTGTAATTGTATTACTCTTCAAGTTCTTATTTTTTCCTTTATTGACTTTAATAAATTGACTTTATATGATTGAAATATAATTGACTTTATATGACTTTGTGAGAATTTGAGAAACTTTAAAATTTATTATTTGAGAAAACTTTTATTTTTGGTATTAAAGCAGATTTCTAAGCACTTTTAGTGTGCTCTTTTTTAATTATACTCTTATTTTCTTTTAAATTGATGCAAGAATGAAATGTTCATGCATGTTTTACCATTCCATGTGATACTGGGAGAAATTAATTTATTTTAGAGTAGCAGAAAATTTTTAAGGCTGCATTGAGGACTTTTTTCTCTTTGCAGAGGAACAGTGCTAGTTGTTAAGACATTGTTTAGACAAGATGCATACTCATATCTGAGTCACCAGCAGTACATATCAACTTTAATTTTATAATGTGAATAGTTTTTAGTAAAATTCTTAATTCAATAAACAGTATAGTAATGTGGATCAAGAAATATATACAAATTATGAATTCTTTTAATATTATGCTTTTTAACCTTGAAAAAAATATTTATACACATACCAAACTTGGCAGTTTTTGTAAAATTATGTACAGTCAAAAGTCGTTAATTCGGACACCCATAATTTGGAATGATCTATAATCCGGACCTCAAAACAAAACTTTCTGCGCATGCGCCGCGTTGACACATGCGCATAGGCGTTTACGCGTGCGCGTAAGACCTTTTACGACTGCACATATGAGTGTGCGCAAGTGCAGAATACGTTTTCGCGTGCACGTTTTATGTATAATGGACGTATAAGCTAAAATTATCTAATTATCTATTTCAGTTAATGTTGATGATTGCGTTGTTCCTTAATTTTCGAATTGGATCCGGCTTATTATTTTTTGCAGACTGTAAGAGCAATTTTATAAAAGTAAGCTTAAACTTTCGATTATATCAAATAGAATTTCCGATATATATTTGTTAACATGTAAAGGATCTAAAGCGAAAGTATGTTTTGAAATTCGAAATCTGTTTATCAATTTCACGCTGCTTGGCGGGGGGAATGCGCCGGCGGGCACGTAATGAATTGGAAGTTGATCTGTCAACACTATCCTTATCTTCAGCGCAGATGTTTTTATTTTATTTGGCTTATAATTGAAGATCAGATGTTTTTATTTTATTTGGCTTATAATTCCTTACCAAATGTAGTATTTTCATCTCGATATGCTCCGTCTTTGATATGATTTAAAACAAGTTTCCTCGTCATTATAATTCGCTTCCGATAACGAAGAAAGTGACAGAGGTTATTGAAAACGAAAAATTTCGATTGACAAATTAGTCGGTGTTCTTGACACAGCAATTATAGGACTTGAACAGCGGAACTTTGTAACTGAACAAGAAATTATGTCTGTTTAATAGAATTAAAGAGAAAGTATTATCACATGAAACGAAGCAAAACTTAAAACAACTTACATTGAAAGAAATGTTTATTTAAGTAAACAAATAAATATTAAGCTTTTTCTTTTTGCAAATTTTGATACCCTTTAGATCATAACTGTTCTTTATTTCATAAATTACGGTTTCATATTTTTAATTTTAGAATTTCTGCATGCCATCTTACCAGATTTAAACTGATGTTCTATAATCCGGAAAAATCGATAATCCGGAATCGCCGAAGTCCCGACGAGTCCGGATTAACGACTTTTGACTGTATTTTGTTAGACATTAAGAGTATGTTTTTGAACTACTTGCATCTTTTTGTAAGTTTTTTTATTTTTAAATTACCATCTGAAAAAAGTATCTAAAAGCAAAATTATAGTAAATATAGCTTGTATATATCACAGTGTTTTCAAATATCTGGTACTTCTTAGAATTTAATGAGTGCATATTATTTTCTGAAGCTCTGCTGCTGCTCTTTTGAGAAAATGCTTGTTTTAAAATTTTTATTAATAGTTTTGTGTTTAATAATAAAAAAGGCAGCCTTTTATCTTCAAATATTTTTTTTTCATGGGATTTATGTGTTGTGTTTAAAATTAAAAACTTTTATGCCACTTAAAAAGAAGTTTACCTTTTGTATTGTTACATTAATTCTTTCCATTAATCAAAATTCTAGTTTTCCCCCTTACTTTTTTTTTTTTTTTTCTTTTTTAGCTTTACAAATTCCTATATGCTATGCGTCTTGTTGAACATGGATTTTTAGAAGAGGTATGTATGTCCCAGAGCTTGTATTTTAAAATTAATTTCACTTTCTGTGTAATTTTCAGTCTTTGGCATTAGGTAAAGAATTAACTAAAAAAATTTCAAGGTATTGTAAATTACATATACATTTTTATTTCAGGCTCTCCACTACTGTGAAGTTATTGCTGGGAATTTACAAGTTCATCCTAATTTATTTTCTTTAGATTTCATATCTGAAGTTTTTAAGGTAAATTTTCTTAAATAAAAATATGATTCTTTTATTGTTGAGAGTAATTTTAGCAGTAAAAAGAAATTTCTCACTCTTTTTGTAAAGGTAGTTTTAAATAGTAAATTAAAAAATTATGTTTCTATAGTTAGCAACTCAGTTGAAGTACCATGATCCACACTTCCTGCGAGGTCAGGGAGAATTTGAAGAGCAAGATGATCCTGAATGGCTAAAAAACTTATCTGCTTTAGTACAGAATTATAGTGTAAGTTTATTGATGTATTGGGATGTTTATAGTGATATATTTGTTAAAATTGTCTGTTGATTGATTAAATCTGTATAAAGTGACCGTAGTACTGATCAATGAGTTTCTTTTATCAAGCAGTATCAAATTGATTGCCACTAAGAGCATGCTTAGCACGTTAAAAGTGAAAAATATTCCTTTGTGACCTCTATAGTGTCTGTTATATAATTTTGACCTCCCCCCCAAAAAAGCTCAACAGTTGCTTATGTTCTCTATGTATGTCACAGCACAGCTGTAAATAGTAATTTCCACAGGTGTAAGCATACAGGCAGACACCTCTGTAATCTATTATTGTACAATTAATTATGAATTGGTCAAAACTAAACAAACAGTATAATGCAAGTTTAGCAGCATAATAACATTTGTCAGACAGCTTAATGCAAGTTTTCGAGGTTGCTAATATGTACTAGAAAGATGGGTCTCACCATCTCTGAAATCTATGTGAAATTCAGATGTTTCACATATAAATATTTCAAGGTTGTATTATGACTTTGTATTACATGAATAATACCTCTGTGACTAATGAAAAACTGTGAACTCCCATATCATAGATTAAGTAAGATCGCAAACATGTCATTAAAAATTTTTTTCATTATCAGAATAATAATTTCTAATAAAAATTTCAGACAAATAAACACCTTAAAAACTTTGTTATATGCATGGCATAATGTTTGTTTTTAAAATTATTTCTTCTCATTTCTAAACATATATGAAGATTTTCTTTGCTGTGGAAATGTAACTGTTTGAAGTCTCTAAAAGAAGATCTTTTACTTGTGGTACGTTGTTTTCCTGATTAGACTTTTGCTAAATGTTTGCAATACAGTGTTAGACTGAAAGTATAGCATTTCTAAACTTCCTTCAATAGGAATCCATCATTTTGAGAAAAGGTGCACTTTTTATAGCATTCATCTGTATATTTATATTTTTATTATGTATGAATAAAGCTTTTTAAATTGTTGTTTATCTGCATGTAAAGTAAAAGTAGTAATATTAATACCAGTTACCTGAAAAAAAAAATCGATTTTAGTACAAAGACCAGTTAGAATTTGAGGCAAAAGTAATTCAAGAAATTGAGATTTGTTGTAAATGAAGATTTAGTTTGAATAAATATGTATTACAATATGTTAGATTTACTATGTATATATTAATTGTATAAATATAATCTCAGAAGAATTGCGTAAGAGTAAATTTGGGAATAGTGACACATTAACTTTCAGCTGCAGCTACTTATGCACTACCATGTATGTATGTATATGTATATATATTTGTATATGTAAGATAAAAATATGTAAAGCAAACTTCTGATTCTGAGTGACAATAGCCCCTTTTATTCTTCATTTAATTATAGTTTTTTTTCCCTTTCTTTCCTAAAACTAGTAAATATTTATATCAATCTAAACTGTGCCATTAATTAATCCATGTAGTACAATTTTAAATAATGCTGCAATGCAGGTATGTTTGAGGTAATCAGCAAATAAAATTTCAGTTGAAATTAAAACTTTTTGAGAACCAAAGCCTTATGATACTAAAGCACTGGGCTTTCTTCTGAACATGTACTTTCCCGTTTGCTTGCTTCTATCTGACATGTAGCAGCTCACCTCTCTATATCTTTCATTGTATTAAGATGCAAACTTCTGAAAAATGCTCATAATTATGAATCAGAATGTGCATATTAAAGATTATTTTCTTCAAAAATAAACTACTATATCTATGGCTATTTTGTCTGCCAGTTTCATCTGTCTTCTGCCTAGTTACACTTCTAAATGCAGGCATTATCTAAAAACATCAACCATGATTAAAATTATTTGTATCTTCTCTCTCGCGTTCATAAATTATATATATATAAGAAAAAATAAAGAAAATTTAAATGCAGGTATATTTTATTATTATTATTTAAATTTCTAGATTGAATTGTTTTAAAAAAAATGTAATATTTTCTCCTCGAAGCACCTCAGTTTTTTAAATTTATTTTAAATGTTTTAATAAAGTCTATTTTTCATAGAATATTCTGCAAGGAGAAAATTCTAATTTATATTATGAACAGCAACTTGAGTCTTCCCAAAATATGAATTCTGGTTCTGAAACCAATCCTCCAGCAGAAAGTAGGTGATATATTTTAATTCTCTTTTCTAAATGTATAGTTTTTTTTTTTTTTTGTCTGAAGAAGGAAAAGTAAACAAATTTTAAATCCTTGAACATGGTCTGGTCACTTTTATTAATATGTGTTTGTTTATATAGTTTAAATAATCTGATTGTCATAAGCTTTGATATAGATATGTAATACACAGAATATCAAAATTTACATTTGATATATTCTGGCTGAAATCACTGCATTGCACGAAATATGATTTGAATTTGATTCATTTTGACTGAAAATTTTCTGAATGTTTTTTATTAATTCTATTTTTAAAATAATTTTAGACTTTTGTTAAAAAAATTATTTTTTAGAAACATTATATCATTCTTTTAAGTACAGAAAACAAAGGGCAGTGTATGTCTCAATTACTACATCATAATTAAGTTTATCTAGTTATGAAGTTCGAAAGTGGCTGAGTGACTGAAACCATGAAATAATGGTAACTTAATGGTAACTTTCGGTTCCTGAATTGAACTTTGTTTCAATTTATATAATGATGAAGCATTTGGCTGCCTAAATGTTTTTAAGATTTTTCCCACATAGAGTGTTTTTCTTCAAAATCATCTAACTGTTTTTAATTAAAAATTTCACAAGGCTTTTGCCATAAAGAATTGAGCATACAACTACAAAAGGAACACACTAAACTATCAAAATATTCCTGTTCTTTGTATTTTTATGTTCAGGTAGTCAACTTGCAAAAATCATATATACGTAGGTAAGTTGAAAAATAAGTTCCCCCTGTCGACTGTGGTCAGAGTTGTGTATGAAAGTCAAAAAATAGAATGAGACATAAAAGATATAACATACCTTTATTTTTCCACATAGGTACCAAGTACATTGAGACATTTGTCATATCACTTTATAAGCTTCAAAAAGCCCTCCAGGAAAAAATCAGGGCTTTGCATATGGAACAAGCGTTGAATGGCTTGTTTCACTTCAGTATTGCTTCCAAAGCGCGTTCCCTCGAGATTTTTCTTCAAAGCCGGAAACAGATGGAAGTCGCTTGGTGCGAGATCAGGACTGTATGGCGGATGGTGTAGGCGCTCCCAACCAAGAGTTACAATATGGTTTTGCGTTGCCGTCGCCGAATGTGGTCTGGCATTGTCATCCAACAGCAGAACGCCAGATGTGAGAAGCACCCACTGCAATCAGTGCCCTATATGGCAGATGTATATCAGCGAGCTTTACGTTCATGTAATATGTCATTCTATTCTCACTGTATCAGCAGGAGAAATGAAGTTTCACAGAGAGTGTGGCTGCAACTATCATGCACATGCTATGTAATCTGACATTTCGATATATGTAACGCCATCTTTCTCGTACACCAGCCAAATCTGTTAAAAAGCAAAGGAAAGTACTTTGCATGATTATAAAAAAACATAGCAAATTCTAACTTTTCTTAAGGTTAGATTAAGATTTTATCTTAAATCTGGATATCAAAATTTCACTGACCATTGTCAGTACAGTCAAAAGTCGTTAATTCGGACACCCATAATCCGGACCTCAAAGCTACAAACTTTCTGCGCATGCGTCAGCGCGTAAGACCTTTACGGCTGCGAATATGCTTGTGCGCGTGCGCAAAATATGTTTATGAGTGCGCGTTTAATGTATAACAGACATTATAAGTTAAGCTAAAATTATCTAATTATCTATTTCAGTTAATGTTGCAGATTGCGTTGTTCCTTAATCTTCGAATTGGATCTGGCTTATTATTTTTTGCAGACTGTTAGAGCAATTTTATAAAAGTAAGCTTGAACTTTCGATTATGTCAAATAGAATTTCTGATATACATTTATTAATATGTAAAGGATCTACAAAGCGAAAGTATATTTCGAAGTTCATTAAACAAAAAGTGGAATTGCTGCAAAAAATGGATAAAGGCATATCCTTTGTTTATCTAAACTTTAACGTTTGTTTATCTAAACTTTGTTTATCTTTAACGCCGCAGCATGCAATGTATTGGAAGTTGATCTGTCAGCACTATCCTTATCTTCAGGGCAGATGTTTTTATTTTATTTGGCTTATAATTCCTTACTAAATGTAGTATTTCATCTCGATGTACTCCGTCTTTGATATGATTTAAATCAAATTCCTCGTCATTATAATTCGCTTCCGATAAAGAAGAAAGTGACAGAGTTTATTGAAAACGAAAAAATTTCGATTGACAAATTAGTCGGTAGACACAGCAATTATAGGACTTGAACAGCGGAACTTTGTAACTGAACAAAAAATTATGTCTGATTATAGAATTAAAGAGAATGTATTATCACATAAAAAACGAAGCAACTTAAACAACTTACATTAAAAGAAATGTTTAATAACGTAAACAAATAAATATTAAGCTTTTTTTTGGTACATTTTGATACCCTTTAGATCATAATTGTTCTTTATTTCATAAGTTACGGTTTCACATTTTTAATTTTATAATTTCTGCATGCCATCTTACCAGATTTAAACTGATGATCTATAATCCGGAATCGCCGAAGTCCTGTCGAGTCCGGATTAACGACGTTTGACTGTATTTTATTTAAATTAATGTCAGTTTTTATCAATATATATTTGTATTATTTAGTTGTTTATTGATAAAGTACGAACTTTCAGTGATGTAGGCTAAAACCTTTAATAATTTAATTAATATAAACACCACAAATCGCCAATTCAAGCACAAGTGGATATTGAAAATATAATTCAAGTTCAGATCTTGGATTGAGGTTTTTATGATTTTCTTCATGTATGACAATTATAGCCACATTTGTGTGGGAGATTACCACAGAAGCAGTCTGCCCTTAGGCTGATAGTCTTGTATACTTTGTTTTAAAATAATTAAGTGTATCTAATTAATCTAATGACTAGTAGTCAGATAAAATTCTCGAAGTTAGTTTCATAAATGTAAATGCTGTTATAATTTTTTTAATCTGAGGTTTACCTCAGATTTCACAAATACTTTTTTATGTATTGGACTCTATTTGTAGTTTTTATGTTGCAGTTTAAAGTGTATTTATTACACAGGCCTGAAATAAAGGAGCTGTGTCTATAACACTAGAAATATAATTTTCTCCATAATATTTTTAATATATATATGTGATTTTATCTTAGTTTACTTCAGCTTACTAATAATTAATGGAATATGGATATTTGTAACAAAGAAATTCTATTAATGTATTTAAGATTATTTTATGAATATATGAGTATTCATGAAATGTTCTATGTTAATATGTTTATTTTGACTTGTAGGTTCATCTTATCAAAGTGTATCAAGCACAGTAATGCAAAATGAAATTAACAATTCGTATAACTATTATCAACCTAACAGCTGGAACAACATGTTCCAAAATTCAGCTGTGTTATCAAATAGTAAGTTAAATGCCTCATTTCCTTGATCAGTAACTCAAAGATTAAAAAATTGTATAAATGTCAGGTAGTCAGATTAAATGTACAGTTTTAATATCATATCTGGAAGATGGTAGTAATTAACTGTTGTGTAGTGAAATTTTATGTTTACTATGTTTTTATAAACCATGGCACTTCTGTTTATAAATTTTCTGCTTAAGAAATTGTTTTTGTTGCCTGCACAAGTTTCTAAAGTCGAAAGTAAAAAAAAAATATCGAAAGCATAAGAATTATCACTACTAAGGAACTTCCACTTTCTCCTTCACATGTTTTCGTGTTGTAGTGGATGCGCGCCCACTCAGCGCATCCAGCTGATTTTTCTATTTCGGTAAATACCTAATAGCTTTACATGCTTATTATCTTCATCATGATCTTTAATGATAAATCATGATATCAAATGGTTTTACTGTTTGTACTAGCTGATTGAAATGTTTCAATCTTTCTCTTTTATTTCTCTCTTCTGGTATAAGACACTAACCTTGCACTGTGTTTTTTTTTTTTTTTTTTTTTTTTTTTTTTTTTTTTTTTTTTTTTTTGATTATATGTGTCGAAAGCTGCAGTTGGGCAGCCATGACTTTCCATGCTTGGTTTGAAGTAAGTGGAAGCATTTATATTGTCTGTTATCTTAAAATAGGAACTTTAAACTCTTCATGTCACTTCCTCATTTATGATTGTAGTGTGTCATCAGCACCATACAGTACTTATTTCCTCTAACTTATTAGAGACTACTTTGTCTTTCTCTATTGGTGTATGTTACACTAGTGGAACAAACTAATCAGAAATGAATTTAAAAAAAAAAAAAAAAAAAAAAAAAAAAAAAAAAAAAAAAAAAATGAGTGTCCTTGACCATTTTTTGCAGTGGTGGTTACATGGTTAAGATATAAGCCAGGAAGGGAAAATCACCTTAATATGCCTCATGTAAAGTGACAGACTGTAGTACATGTTGCTGTGGCTGATAAAAACTACGAGGGCCATCCAGGAAGTAGATTACGTTTCCGTCTGTGTCCGCTAGGGGCGGGGCTAGCGCGGCCATCTTGGGGTCAGAGCGTTGCGCAGCTCAGTCTGCATCTAGCCGTGCTAGTGAGAGGTTCGTGCTGTGCTCCGTTCAGATACTGCGACGGTTTGAAATGTCTGCGTTAATTGAAAATCCCGCGAGCTGCGAGGTGCGCTCAGTAATAAGGTTTCTGACTGCAAAAAACTGTAAACCGATAGAAATCTATCGGCAGCTTCGTGAAGTGTATGGGGACAACATTATCACTGAAGGTGGGTGGAGTGCGTCAGTGGGTCATAAGATTTCAAAATGGCCGAACCAATGTTCACGACGAAGATCGAAGTGGGAGACCCAGCATAGTGACCGCCGAACTTCTCGAAAAAGTCGATGCTAAAGTCCGTGAAAATCGAAATTTCACAATAACGGAACTTTCTTTGAGTTTTCCACAAATTTCGCGAAGTTTGTTGCACGAAATCATCAGTGAAAAGCTTGGTTACCACAAGTTTTGTGCAAGATGGAAGGCAAGAAGAGGTAACGAAGTGGTTGAAGGCGCAGGCGGCCGAATTTTTCGACGAAGGAATTTCCAAGCTCGTACATCGCTACGATAAATGCCTTAATTTGTATGGTGACTATGTAGAAAAGTAGTATTTGAGTGTGGCTTTCATCTGTATATAATAAAATTTGTTTCCTATACTTTGTTTATTTTTTTATTCCAAAACGTAATCTACTTTCTGGATAGCCCTCGTACATTCCCATGAAAATGCAGGAAAGGTCTGGTTGAATTTTTATGTTAAATTTGAAAAGGGCAATAATGAGACACTTGAAATTTTATGGCATTTGTATAGTGGTTTGAAACTAGCTCGCTTCAGTATTTCATTAGTGGAGATATTTAAATGATGGTAACATGCAAATGATTGATAGAGTGTATTCTGGCTTGTCATCCGTTGCGATTACAGATGTTAACATTGCCAGACAATGAATGTTTATATTTTGAAAATATTCTGAAAACTCATTATGGAATCCAAATGAAGGGGAAGGAAGCTGAATTTTATAAAACAGTAGTTTTTGCTTCAAGACAATACTCAGCCATGTTTTGCTGCAGTAGCATTGGCAGTGCTGCTTGAAATTTAAAGGGATAGCACTAATATGTTTTGGAACAGCACTAAAATGTCTTCGTATTGTCAAGACTTAGCAACAGATGATTTTTGGGCATTCTCAGTACTGAGAGAACAAACAGTCGTGTGAAAAGAAGTTCACTGTAGATGAGGAAATGAAAAGTGGCATGACTGCATTGTTTGGTGATGTTGCAAAACCATATATTTCATGTTCCTGAATCATTCATGAAATACTGTAAAAATGTAGTTCAGTATGAACGGTTATACTTTGGAAGTTAGGAAATATGCGTCATCTGATTTTGAATTAAAAATTAGTCTTGAAACTTTTCAGATCAGCTGTATATTGTTAAATTACGTAGAACTGTATGAGTGATGTGTTAAAAGTACTTTATTTATTTATTTTTAATTTTATATGGTTTTCAAATTGCCTGACTGTATTCATTACCAATTTATTGCATATTTATAACTTTTATGCGCCCTTATTCATAAAGATTAAAAATTTTTTCATGCCATTATTATTGTTGCAACTCTCAGGGCTACAACGTGCAGGTTGCAAATTAAAAAATCACAGCAGGGATTATTAATATAAACCTCTTTGAGTCGACTTCAGGTTGGCTCAAGACATAAAGTACCTGGTCGAAGAGATCTAATTTCTGAGGCACCTTGATCACACATCCAAATCTGGACACTTTAGCACCTTGTAGGATGATACTAGAGTCATTTGAAGAGTCATTAGAATCCGAATGCCCATCACTAGATATAGAAGAAATAGGATTAGTAAAGCAGTTATCGTGTATGGGATCAGTGGGGGTGTCCGTTAATGGAAATACTCACTGAATGGGACGAAGCAGCATACCAGCCTGAGTCTTCAGTTCTACAGTTCTCACATTGCCATCTTTCCCGGGAATGAGTCGAATGACCTTAGCTAAAGGCCAGTGCATCCGTTTTTTGATGTCATCTCCTATTAGGACAATTTCACCCAACCGTAGCTCTGACGACGGACCTTTCTTATTTTGGACCAGAAGACCTAAATATTCTTTCCTAAATCTTTCTTAAATCGTTAAGTAGTTTTTAGCGATGTCTAACCCTTTTTCGAAGACTTATTTAATCGCAAAAATCAACATCGGGAACACCTAAGCTACGATTCTCAATGAGAAACATGGCTGGGGAAAGTGAGATTAAATCATCCGGATTTTCCGACGGATAGGTAAGAGGTCTAGAGTTAATTATTGGCTTACAGTTGCATAATATTGTGTACAACTCCTCGGTTGTGAGAACCGCATTACCGAGTGTCCTCAACAGTTTCTTTATTACACAAACTAACCTCTCCCACCAGCCACCACACCAAGTGACTGTGGGAGGATTAAAATTCCATATTATGTGTTGTATAGCTTTTTGCCTCAAAATTTTTTCCCAATCAGTGTTACTAAGTTTTCTTTTCACTCCTCTGAAATTAGTTCCATTGTCGAAATAAATTATTCTTGGCCTCCCTTTTCTGGCTACGAATCGTCTCAATGACAACAATAATGTGTCGGTAGACAATGAGGAAGTCAATTCCAAATGAATGACTCTATATAGTGCACATGTGAACAAAACAATCCAAACTTTTTCATCTCTCTTCACATACAAGGGGCCTGCCAAATCAACTCCTACCACCTCGAACACCACTGCATCATTGGCACGATCGCCTGGTAGAGACACCGGCTCGCAATCGGGAGACTTGGCCTTGTATCGATTGCATCTTATACAGTTTTTTACTACTTTCCTGACCGCTCTTCTGTCCCTCACTATCCAAAATTGCTCCCTTAATATTCCGAGTAATATTTGAGTTCCAGTGTGACAATTTTGTAAATGATAATATTTTATCAGACACTTGGTGAAAATAATTGAACAAATAAATGCAGGGTTGTCTGTTCGCTGTGTAATGCGTGTTTTCACCCATTTTACACCTTCTCTGTCTGAAATGACACTCATATTGGGAATAGAGTCGGCGGAGGGAAAATATTTTGTACAATTTTTATAAGAGTTTTTTTGGCATATTCCATCTCATGAATGGTTAAATCTCCAGTCTCTCAAAAAGCATGTTTACTTTTTGCGTTTTTCACAAACCACAATACCCATGCGACTAATTGAATGATGGATTGAAAATTCGAAAACCTAATTGCATACCAAGGTATTTCCTCTTCAACTGAATTAAGGTTACACAATCTGACCTTCCTTTTTTCTCTTTTTACCTCAGAGGTCTCGTAAGCCAAGCGGTCTAGTGGGCAGTTGTTAATGGATTCCAGAAGCCAGGACAAACCCTCCCACTAAAGAGAATCGGAAAATGAACGAGGGGAACTGCTTCTTGAAAGTATATCTGCCGGGTTTAAATCACCTGGTACATGGCACCAATACTGAGAAGGAATCAGACTGTTTATTTCTTTAACTCTATTCGCAACAAAAACTGACCAATCACCATGGTTCTTAATCCACCAGAGTCACTCCATGCAATAATTTTCAAATCAATAAAATCTAAGGTGGTGTATACTGAGTGAACCAGTCTTGCACCAATGCAACAGGCCATCAATTCCAACCGGGGTATTGTCAGAGATTTTAACGGCGCTACCCTTTATTTGGCTCTGATCAATCTAATTTTGACTCCCACGGGCATTACAGTTCTAATGTAGGCACATGAACTATAGGAGCTCTTGCATGCATCAACGAATAGATGCAGCTCTGAATTTTCATTTATCTCTACATATCATGGAATACTAATTTTCTCAAGATATTTAATTTTATCCTGCCACTTCTGAAAAGTTTTCTGAATGTTGTCTGGTAAGGGGTCATCCCAATTTAAATTCATAGTCCAAGCCTCCTGTAATAGTAACTTAGGTAACAAGGTAGTCGGACTCAAAAAAACCTGCGGATCAAAAATTTAATGTGCCATAGCCAAAATATTATGTTTACTTATCTCCTTATCCATTGAATAATTAAGATTACATTAAAACATCTCGGAGCCATTACTTCTGTTGCCTTAACTATAAAAGTTTCTTGCTGTTTGATATCGTGAGCCCCAGTGACACAATTGTCAACATAAAACGAATGCTTTAATTTTTGGATCACATCATCAAACTTGTCAGAGGAATTACCCAAGAGATGCTTTATCAATGCTGAGAGTTGGAACGGAGATGAACAAACGCCGAACACCACTCTGCAGTGTCTGTAAATCATATGCTCTTCAAGAGTTGGAAGAAAAAACCTCAAATAATCTCTGTGTTCTGGGATAATACTCAGCTGAAGAAACGTTTTCTCAATGTCCAATGATAAACCAACAGAATACAATCTAAACCTGTCAGTTATATCAGGTATGAGTTCAATTAAGTTCGGCCCTCTATTGAAACAATCATTTAAAGACAGTTGATTTCTCTCTCGGCTGAAGCGTCGAACACCGGCCTTACCTTCATTGTCTAGCTAGTATGCTTTATAACAGGTCTATGGGGCAAATAATAACTCAAATTATCAATTTCAGTTTCAGGAACCTTTTCTATTACTTTTACTTCTTTCTATTGCCTAAAAACTATAGTCATCTAACTCATTTTCCTCATTAACTTGTTGACACATTCTTTGATGCTTTTTAAAAGTCACAGACTTATTGTTAGGTAACAGAATTTCAGATTTAAAGGGTAGTGGCAATTCGTATCGGCCATCAGAAAGACCATTTAAATTCTCTTTAAATTGCTTAATGGTGTCAGAGTGACCAAGTTTACGTTTAACATCTTCATTTGGGTCTGTTATGCCAATGGCATCTAAATTCCAGAGTTCGGTTACGCTAAGATTAGCACAATGCAACGAAACTATGAGTGCCATGAGCTTGCTCTCAAGTAAATCATAAAGTTCAGCTAAATCTCCTTTAAATCGACCAGCATCATTTTTCGTTACTATGGAAAGTAGATCTCGTACATAAATCTGAACCAAAAGTTAACTCTCCTGAAGTGTTCTAAGTTGTGCAATTACCTTTGAATAGTTTTCTTTAGAATAGAAGAGAAACACGCCAATATGACAATCAAAGTCACAATAACAACCTTGTATTTAGCATAAGTATATTAAACACTCAATCGATTTCGAGGGCAGCTAAAGGTCCTTCCTCATCAGGAGAACGAAATTCCTAGAAAGGGGAAAAAAGAAGAAAAATAAAGCATTGGCAAAGGAGTCTCAGAAACACGTGGTCCTTATCAGCACTGAACGTGGTCGTAACCAGATTTTGAATCAGAGTTACATTGGCCGCCTACTTTTACTGAGCCAGTCTCTCTGATCAAACGTATGACACATAGACTAAAACGCAAGAAAATCAGCGAAGTAAGAAAATAGGGTGTGAGGGACAACTGCAACTTCATGCACCAAGTACAAACTTCGAATAAAGGGAAAGCAATCTCTGTAACGGCTTTTTATACCCTCCGCTAGTACCAAACACAAGGAGGCAATGCCATCTATTGGCAAAAATAATAACTAAGAATTATGTTAATAGAATTTTAAAGGCATTAGGAAGGACTGTTTAGTGAATGACTGGACTTAAAATCATTCATTAAACGTGCTAAATCCTTGTGAATATGAAAAGCCTCAAGAAAATCCAATTCACCAACAGAAGCCTTTTGGATAATTTTTGCAGATCCAAAGTAAAAAATTATGATTAAATTTCCAACTATGATGCACAGTTGAAGACTTATTAATTTCGCTTTTTCAAACATAAGATTCATATTCCTTGATACGGAACTTCAACGCTCTTTTTGTTTGGCCAATAATATAGCTTAAGCCACACTGACACAATATACTATAAATTCCCCAAGAATTAAAGCAAGAAATGCAATCTTTTAAATTGAACCGTGAATTTTATTGATAGGGGAGAAAGTGACTTTAAAATTGAATATCTGGAGAAACCATGCAACTTTATAACTACAAGGATAAAATGGAAGCACGACAAGGTCATTAATATTATTTCTAACAGTGGAATGTCTTCATTGATGGAAATCTGAAAATTTTTTAATGGCTTTATCAATGATCAAGGGAGAAAATCCTTGGTCAATAGCAACTGCTCTCAAATAATTAAGTTCATAGGTAAGGAAAGATTCTGAGGAACAAACTTTGAGCGCGCGGAATACATTATAGTAAAAAGAAGCCATTGCTTAACAGGATGGCATGACTTATCATGGGGTGGTAAACAAACTGCAAAGTGTTTACGGTACACAGTAGTGCTAAAATCAATTTCATTGTGGATTATAAGAATATCAAGGAAGGTTAGGAAATTGTTGGATTCAATATCAAGAGTGAATTGGATGACTGGATCAATTGCATTTATAATAGATAAAATCTTTGGATAAATCTTCTTTATTACCGTCAAAAAGCGCGAAAATGTCGTCTACATACCGAATCCAGAGACGAAAAGATAGTTTATCAAATAATTTCACCTAAAAATAGTACATATAAATGTTAGCAAGTACAGGACTGAGAGGATTACATATAGCCAATCCTTCAATTTGACGAAAATATGCATCTTGGAAAACAAAGTGGGTTTGACTCGGAAAGACTCTTAGTAAGTGAAACCAACTCATCAATTTTAGTACGTGTGAAGTGGAATTCCCGAAGCCTATTTTTAAGACATTTTAGTGCTCCTTCGACCAGAACATTAGTAATCAATGATTTGACATCAAATGAAACTATAATGGAACGCAGTGGAGAAATATCTTCAACTTTATCGATGACTTCAAAAGAATTTTTTATGGTGGGAATATTGTTAGCAAGTAAAGGAAAAAATCTGGAAACTAAATATTTGGCCAAAGGATATGAAGCTGTACCTGTGTTTGATCAGAGAGCTTGGCTCAGTAAAAGTAGGCAGCCAGTGTAACTCTGATTCAAAATCTGGTTATGACCACGTGCAGTGCTGATAAGGACCACGTGCTTCTGAGACTCCTTTGCCAATGCTTTATTTTTCTTCTTTTTTCCCCTTTCTAGGAATTTTGTTCTTCTGATGAGGAGGGACCTTTAGCTACCCTCGAAATCGATTGAGTGTTTTAATATACTTACGCTAAATGCAAGGTTGTTATTGCGATTTTGATAGTTTTCTTTGGTTGGTGGAAAACTTGTCACCAGGCTTGACACTTTAGAATCTGCTACCACATATTGTAACAGATATTGAAATTTGTCTTCATCCACAATAGAATAATCTTTGTGAATTTTTCAAACTGTGACCCAAAGGCAAGAAAGTGTTTCGCTTCTCCACTAAATTTCCTCAATTCAAGTTTCGGAAGCCTGAATTTCCTTTTTTGTTCAGTTGTTGTTCCTTCCGAAACCAAATTTCCCTTCTTTTCATTCTCTAGCAATGAACAAATCAAGCAGAACTTGTCTCGGTATTCTTCTGCTTTCAAAAAATCTTCGGAATATTCATCTTGAAGAGTATCATCACTTAGCAACAAATTCAAAACTTCTTCTTGAGTTGTTTCTAAATGTGTGAATTTGTCTTGAATCTGTTTAAACAGCGAACTGGCTTCATCACTTCCTAAACTTTTGTTTTCGATCTTCTGAGGTATATCGTTACAGCATACCTGAATTGCTGTTCTCAGCAATTTTTGTTTTGCTTTCAAAACTTCGATATCCATATTTTATGAAAAATATAAAATAGCAGACGCCAGATTTACTGTGTTGGAACTCTCAGGGCTACAACGTGCAGGTTACAAATTAAATGATCACAGCAAGGATTATTAATATAAAGATTTTAATATGGATATCTCACACAAGCGGAAAACGGTATTATTAGTCTAACAAGTGCATACATATACTGAGTGAAAAGGGAATTTTCCCGCTTAGTTCACAGTTAAAGAAAAATAAGAATAATAATAAAAAAAAAAGTCTAATCACAAGTGGCGCTCTTTCTGTCGACTTCGCCCAGCCATTGCGTGATTGTCTATCTGAAGCAGCCGTCTCCTACAAGTGTTGATGATACTTACATTTTAAAGATGAATATTGTGATAATTGAAATAACGCCAATCCAAATATTATAATAAATGGGTCAGATAACTACTAATATGAACTTCAGCAGTAAGTTAAAAGATGAGCATAGTCAATTTCAGTTGTTGATACGTTTCCAGAAATAAATTGAGACATTTTCTCAATATCAGGAGTAATTTTTTGATACTCACCTCTTATCAAAAGTTTGGTAAACTCTTATCAGAAGTTATAACGCTTATTAAAGACAGAAATTAAGTGCTTTGGACTATGTGTACCTTTTGTAGTGAGATTATGTTCCTCAAAAAGTGTTTTGTAATGAAATTATGTTCCTCAAAAAGTCTATTATTATTATTCAGAGAGATTTTTAAAACTTGGAACTATGTTCCTTAAAGTTATAAAAATTATTAATTTGAAAGTTTCCATCATGATTTTGAAATTGTTCTGCCTTTTCAAAATTTATGTTAATAAGCCACTTATATAGAAATGTTAATTTTGTTTTTATGGTATATTTTTAAACTGCCACAAAAATCAGCATTTGAAATCTCAAACTCCCTCCCAAAAAAGTGTTGCTTTCCCATTATGTAATTATTAGTTTATTTAATCTTGTATTAAAAATTACTGAAATAAATTTATATTCAGTAATATTTTGGACTTCATAGATTTTAAATTTTTTAAATTAGTACTTTGTAAACATGTGCTAAAAATTGGTTATTGAAACTTAGATCAGCAAGACAATCAATCTGTGAATGCATACTATCAACCAGAAATGATGAAAAAGTTTAACACAGAGAGTAGCATTCCAAGCCATGAAGAAAACGAAACAACAGATGTGCCGTCCTCTCCTGTAACTCAGACTCCACCATTTGATTACTATTCTGGTGGAACTCAGCAGGTATATGTCTATTTTATTCATTATTGTTTGAGAAATTTTAAAATTGAGACTCAGTAGCTTGTGTTAACAATTATCAGGATCTTTTATTTTTCCCCCATTTCTGAAAATCAAAACTATAAGTCGTCCCTTTTTTATTACATGGATAATTTCAGATTCTTGAGTCATTCTCTTCAATAGAACATATTTATTTTTTTAAATAATATTCCAAAATTTCAAGCAGCAACGTAAATTCCATAGCAATAACACCTAGTAAAATCGAAAATTTTCAGATTGTTCAATGAGTATGTGGTTATATTTTAAAGCAAGTTCTTATTATCATATGCTAATTGTTTACCTCAATCACATGTTAAATATTCCTAAATCTTTATGGTTTTTCAAGCCTTCTTTGTGAAAATGCATTCTTTTTCATGCATTTTCCAGGCATGCTTTGCTTCTTTACATATTCAAATTTCTTTCCCATTTCTTCAACATTCTCATGTTCATGTAAAATATTTTTTGAAATATTGTGATTTGTAATGAATAAATATTCGGTAATTTGTAAAACATTTTAAGCAAAAATTAAAAATTATTCAAATAGATACATTTTTATGTATTGTCCTTTGATAGATTCCTCGTATGTTAACAAATTCCACGTTAATTTAAGCTAATGAAGTTTATGTATTAAAATATGAGGTATTATAAAATTTTTAAAAAAATGTAAATTACTAAAGAGTGGTATGTGTTTGGACACTTCAGATATTTTTTGCTAGTTTGCTAATTATACAACTGATGTGGTTCATTTGGTAACATGCAAGGTAACTGCTACATTTGATAGCATGTAAAATATGTACATTGAGTTAGTAAAATGTTTATTTCCAATTGTAGTTTCTGAAATGAAATTATTTGTTTTGTTATTCATTTTTAATACTTTCTTTTGTGTTTTTCTGTTTATCAAGGATTGAATTGACAAGTAGAAGATCATTTATGTGATAAATGTAAGACTTTAAATTAACAACATTGACGGATTTAGACAGTTAAATTCCATATATTCCATATTGGCTAAGAAAATGGACTGCAGTTTCATTCATAATCAAATATTTTTATGGTTAGATAACATTACTAGAATTTTACTCTTTGGAGACATATTTCTATGTATTACTAGAATTTTACTCTTGAGACATATTTGTACTATATATACATATTATTAATTATATAAAAGCTAGTAATAAAATTTAAAGCCATTCATTATTTTGTTTCATACTTTTTTTTTCCAGCTTTGTTTCTCTAATATCTATAAATAATATATATCATTATTTAATTTTTTGTCTTATTTTTAAACATTCATGAACACTGTTTTCCCAAAATTATTAAAAATAAATAAAGTACATAGATGTGTGTGTGATATTTTAATTGCATAGACACCGGTACTTTAACTCTCGATAGTCATGGCTGAGGGTGAAAGCATACAGATGAAACTAACAAAAACTGGATTTTGACGAATCGCCAATATCAAATTATTTTGTTAGGTATTTATCCAATCATAATTAAATACGATAATTTTTATGTACACTGTCTTTTAAAAGAATGACATAAGCTTCTTAGACAGGAAAGTATAAATGGCACGGAGATGTTTGCATGGCAGAAGTTAGAAAAAGGAATGACATAGTTGCTTGCGAAGCAGTATTTATACTAAGTAGGTGCATAACCTTCGTCTGTCACACGACATGATTTATTTTCAATGAAAACTGCAATGGATTCTCTGTTGCATATCTACTACATGGTTTTTTCTGTGTTGTCACTAAAATATGTTCTCCAAGATTTTAAAAAAAATCTTCTAAAAAATTGTGATTTAGTTTCTTATTTTGTTATAAATTCTTCAGAAAAGGTGTGCTTCATTCTGAAAATTCTTCAGAGAGTTATTTTTAAAGAGTTATTTTGAATGTTTTTAAAGTCAGACCTGAGTGTCAAAAATGGTGAGTCAGTGGTGATTATTGCAAATTCTTCAGTATTGTGTTTAGTTTCGGAAAATAATAATAATAATAATAATAATAATAATAATAATAATAATAATAATAATAATGGAAACTAGGTCTCAAATGAAATCAATTGCAGAAAAAGCCGAAATGGTTTCAGTAAGTATGGATAAATTTCAGTGTGCAGTATATGATGGACAAAGTTCGGATATTCCAGTAGATAAATATATTTTATTGTTTGAAAGAAAATTTACCAGTAAAAATATTACTGACGTAGACAAGACATTGGTGTTTTCACAGTGCCTTTGTGGTGAGGTATTATCATTTTATGTACATGAATGTGTTGATTTAGAGTGGAAAACCCTTAAAGATAAATTTCTTACTTATTTTTCAAGTGCTGAAACTGTTACCTTTAATGATTTTGTGGCTATTTCTTACTCTAAATTCAATGATAATAAGTATTTCCAGCAAAAGTATCTAGTTTAAAGTTAAATGACATATGTATCTAGTTTAAAGTTAAATGACAAAATTATTATTGATGCTTTGAATCAGGGACTACCAGAGCAACAGAAAATGTTACTAACTGTACAAAATATCACTTCTTTGCAAGATTGGATTGCAGTAGCATGAAAACTTTTTCCCGCAAGTTTTTCTACCTCAAGTTCACTGGGAGAAGTAAATAATACACCAACATTTTCAACTCCCTGGTTAAAGCAAAATTTTTACCAGCCTAGATATCCTACTCCAAGGCTTTTTTAGTCTAGACAGTATGTTCGTCAAAACCAAGCCTGGAGAAATTTCCGGCCATGAAAGTGGCCTATCCTTATCAGTCATTTCCTTCGTTAAGCTATTATAATGCAAATTCTAAAAAAACTGGATTTTGACGAATCACCAATCTTTATTTTCACACATATCCAATCATTTTGGTAGACATTTATCCAATCATAGTTAAATACGATAATTTTTATGTACACTGGCTTTAAAATTATGATATAAGCATCTTAGACAGGAAAGCTTAAGCAGCAGGGAGATGTTTGCATGGTAGAAGTTAGGAAAAGGAGAGACATAGTTTCTTGCGAAGCAGGATTTATACTAAGTAGGTGCACAAGTCTAACTAAACTGCTATTGGTTAATTTTAGAATTGTTTTGTAACATGGAAAGATCTTGAATTTGGGAGAACAGGTGAACTTAGGGGGAAGAATTTCAAATTTAAAATAGTCAGTTTTGAAGTTGGCAATTATTTGGATGCATAGCCATCGTATTTTATTATATTTTACACACACAGACATATATATATGAAATGTAGAATCTCGTACATTATTTGTGCTGTGCAGCCGGAGCAACAGGAATGAGACAAATTTTGGAATATAAAGTGATACGTTTATTTTAGCATCCATCTCACAAATGTTCCTCCTGTACCTCGAGGAGAAGCCCTATTTATAGATATGTATGCATAATAATGCTCATCCAATCAGCGATATTAATTGAAATCATGAGGTGACGCTATCTTCTCATCAGAAGTGTTCTTAAGAACTTTATGTAATATGACAGATTTATGCATTTGGCAATTTGGCGGGCGCCAACAGGTTAATATAATTTATAATAAAGAAAGGATTTTGCCAAAATTTAGGAACAAGGATGCAATTTAGGTAGAGAATCGTCAACACATTATTAAGCAATAAGATTAGAATTTAATTTAATCAATTGATTCAAAAATATCATTACATATATGTATACCGAAAAGACAAATTACTGTATGCTTTTGATTATCCATGCATAGCAGTGTACGCACATGTGTATTCAGTGTTCTGCGGAGAGTGTATAAAAAATAAACATGCACAAGTCCTGTTATGGAAAAGATTCTTATTATAGAAATCAGAGATTTATGTAATTGTGAAGAAGTTGATGCAATACCTGAAGTTATATGCCCCAAAACTGAAAATGTAAAATTTTTCTAATATGTCAATTAAGAAAACATCGAGGTATAGTTCAATGGCAGTTTGACTGAGCCGGACTTTGAATGCTTGAGGGGTGTGGATATTGTTTCAAATATCACAGGAACATAAGAAGCAGAGAATGCTACTTAAAATATAAGCAGAGAAAATAGTGACACTTAGATTAGTCCCAAGATAGTGATGACTTCTGTTGAAACTCTGTTAGACTTCATCAACCAAAAGGAATTCGAATACAGTGATAAAAAAGCACTTCAACAAATATTAAAAATAGTAAAATTCAACAAATATTTAAACATTCTCAAAAATGGAGTAAAGGTTACTGATTTTTTAGAGAAATAATTTTTGCAACATGTATGAAAACTGATAGTTTGGATTATCCATGTTTTTAGTCATACCTGATCTGCTTCGCAGCTTTAGCCCAGATATTTGTGAGCACATTATATCATGTATATTTTTTGTGAAAACATATAGATACATAAGTATGTGGTCAATGTCTAGTGGATGGATGACATACTTGATGAATAGTATATATGTATCAAAGTTTTAAATGATAGATAAGAGATAGTACAGTACAAAGTCTTTAATCAGGACGCCCATAATCCGGAATGATCTATAATCTGGACCGCAAAGCTACAAACTTTCTGCACATGCGCGTTTAATGTATAACGGACGGTATAAGCTAGGCTAAAATTATCTAATTATCTATTTCAGTTAATGTTGCAGATTGCATTGTTCCTTAATCTTCTAATTGGATCTGGCTTATTATTTTTTGCAGACTGTTAGAGCAATTTTATAAAATGTAAGCTTGAACTTTCGATTATGTCAAAAAGATTTTCCGATTCTGGAGCTGCCAAAGGATCTACAAAGCGAAAGCATGTTTTGATGTACCGCTTCCAATAGTGAAGGAAGTGACAGAGAGGTTATTGAAAATGAAAAAATTTCGATTGACCTGTTAGTCAGTATTCTCGACACAGCAATTACAGGACTTGAACAGTGGAACTGAACAAGAAATTATGTCTGTTTATAGAATTTAAGAGAAAGTATTAGCACAAAAAATGAAGCAACTTAAACAACTTACATTGAAAGAAATGTT